TTTCCTACTTTTATTGTTCTTTGTGGTTATGAATACACATTGCGATTCAAATTAAAACATAATAGCTAGCAAAAACATTTTTTATTTAAAATACATACCTTAACGTTATAACTAATTTCTCTTCGGGTTGGATACAGTCACGAAAATTGCGATTCAAATTAAAACATAATAGCTAGCAAAAACATTTTTTATTTAAAATACATACCTTAACGTTATAACTAATTTCTCTTCGGGTTGGATACAGTCACGAAATTTAGTATCTTGTCCTTTGATGGTGACATATAAAACTGTTAGTAATTCTTCAAATGACGAAACACTCATTCTAACATAGCCAAAGAATTTATCTTGGTGCTTCTTCAGTTCTTGAAAACAACTTGCGAACTGGCCAAATTCATTACGTGTTTCTAGTAAAGGATGAATCCAGTATCTTTTTTTATTTTTCTTTCGTTGTTTTCGGGAGTAATAATAAATAACACAAGCTATCTCGACGGCGTCCATTTTGTTTATGAGGTACGCGGGCCGCTCTGGTCCAACCGCTTAACGCGTTATCATCGCGGTTTTTTCGCGATTGGCCGCCATAGCGGTCAGCCGCGATGAAACCGCGTCAAGCGGTTGGACCGCTCAAACGAACCGCCTAGGCGGTCAATCGCTAGTGCGTATAAGCCCTCAGAACCATTTTTCATCTTGCGCCCACTTATCTTAATTAATTTATATTCTCATAGAAACGCTCAAGGAAAAAAAACATATATATTCACTCGTCTTAAAAGTCTCTTCTGAGTGACGTCTGTTTTCTTCTTTTCTTAGCGTCCTATGTTGCCACATATATCAAAATCTTATAGAAAATACAACACAATATAGTATGTACATTTTTAGTGCATATCAGGTATCTACGATACGCTACAAATGTTTTGGTTCATGGTATAGGTCGGTTATCGAAAGCTGGCGCGTTCACAGTACTCACACTAATGCAATCTGGTTTTAGTAGGGTTGGGTGGATTGTAAAATAAATAAAAATGTGTCAAATTCATATAAATATTATGTGCATACGAGGGTGGATCCAAAAGTTCTAAGCCCGACCAAGAACGTAAAAGAGTAGTTTATGTAAATAATTTTTCATTTTTCGACATAAGCTCCATCTAGCTCAAAACACTTCACTTTTACTTCACTATCAATTATTCTTTCAATACTCCTCTTAGAAACCCCAGTCGCATCTGATGTCAAATTAAAAATAACATTTTTTCATTAAAATAATTAAAAACATTGTGCACCAACTGCTTAAAATAATTAAAAACATTGTGCACCAACAACTCAATCAACATGTACTTTGTATTGTTTTTTTTTTTTTTTTCAGTTTGACATCACGCCTCGCGCTTATTCACAGACACTACACAAGCACCTTTAAATAACATACCATAGGGATTGAAACGCACGCTAATGGTGGCCATTCACGGGCGTTCAATCTGGCTTTCGCGCCACGGGCTCGATACTCGACGTCGCGCCGAGCCAAATTCATGCCATTCACGAACACGCCAGCGAGCCGTTCGGCGTTCCATTTGATCATTTTGAGTGTAGGCGTCGATAGCACCGGACGTGTTCATAATGAACTTCGATTCAGAGATGAATTTATCACAAAAGCTTTGCCTAGTTCAAAAACACGAAAGTGGTCTAAGTGGGTTGCTGAAAAGCGCAGCTACATAAATTAACTGAAGGACTTGACTTTTTTAATAAAACTTATTGTAAATATTAATTGATTATCAAATATGTCACGGTATAGATGAACCATGCGATGGAAACGATTTATATTAACAATACGTCTCGTGCTCTCGTCAACGGTAACGCAAAAAAATCAAATGGCGTTTGCTCTTAACTTACTTTGCACGAGAGTAAATTTTTGGTACGATGGCTCAGACCGACCGGACTTGTGTTTTCGGCATTCACAATTAGCGCTTGCGTACTGCCCGCCGCACCATTGTAGTGGCGGTGGCTTTCGCCAGTTGAAATTCAAAACGCGTCACACTGAACACCATTCACGAGCGAGCAGTGTTTTCACATTCATGGACGAATTTTGGATCGACAGCGTGCCAAATGTATCGATGGATCGCCCGTGAATGGCCGCCATAACACTGCTCTATTGTAATAATAATCCTGTATATTATATATATTCATGGCTTCGGTGGGCATTAAGTAGCTACTTTTTATAGTACTTTACTACTACCTAAATGTATAATAACTTAGTATAAATACATTACGGGTGAAACCGCAGGGCTCGATTGCTCATTTTAAGTATTTAAAAATAATACAGATCCAGAGCGGTATTCAATGCAATTTAGATTTTCGAAGACTTATCAAACGTCCGTTTAGTAAAATTAAACGTCTTTGCTAAGAGTAATTACTCATTACCGAATTTTTGCCCTTTATCTAAAGAGCGTACCAATTCTTAAAAGGCCGGCAACGCACTTGCCAGCCTTCTGGCAATGTGAGGGTCCATGGGCGGCGGTATCACTTAACATCAGGTACAGGTCATCTATTTTTTTGTTAGAAATTGTTGTGCAAACAATGTTTCATTTCAAACTGTGGTTTTGAAATAAAACATAGGTTTAGGTTTGACGATTCATAGGGTTTAAAATAAATAAAACAATTAAATATCAATATTTTATAAATATTCGTAAATTTAGGTCAAATGTGGTACAATTCAAATCAGAGGAAATTATTTTTATCAATTTCATATCAAAAAGGAAACATCCATTCGTCGTTTTCTACACTTTATCATTAGTATCCTAAATACAAACTGTAAAAATTACATAATTACTATCTATAATGTATAGGAACTGAGCCAGTTAGTGATAGGGTGAAAATAGAGCAATATTATTTTGTGGGACTCAACTGTATCTTCTCACTATCTCTAACTTGTAAGGGCTCTCTAAACAGAAACAAGATTTCTTAACATAAAACTTCTATGATTAGCAAAACCCAAACTGTAAATGGCATGTGTTTAGTGGACTACCAAATTTACACATTTACACTACAATAATAAAGGTATTAAAACTTCACTTCGATAGAGTGTAGAAAAAAAATTCATGATAAGAACAAATAAAACATTAGATTCATTAATTATTATTACCATCTATGACCCTACAGATATTAAAAATTACAAAGAGTAAGTTGCATTAGTTAAATACTAAGTGTATTTTAGTACAATAGTGCTTTTTAGCAATAAAAAAAAGAATTCTATTGGTCAGATTACTGTTATAAAGAATATACTGATTATCGTCATTTACAAACTAATTAATAAGAAATAACCATTTTAATACTTTAAGACATAAATAATAACACAATTTAAACAATTTAACTTGCTTTCTTTGACTTAAATCTCTTATACCTAGATATTTGACTACACTAATAGTATAACCAAGTCAATTATGATACATAATCTTAATAATGACATAATGTAAAGGCGGTAGGCAGACGACGTCTTATTACTATGGACTCAGAAACAGAGTGGAAATTATATGTTCCCAATTTAACAACAGAGATTACAGCATACGAAAATGTATGCAAGGACATTTCAATAAAGTACATATAAATACTTGATGCTTTGAAAGCATTGTTGTAATGAAACAAGAGCCAAATTTAGAAGTTTACACTGTAAACAAATGAAAATTGTACAAAAAATATAAAATCCATCAGAGTTAGAGAGATTGTCAGATTACTTAAAATGTAATTCCTATTCAAAAATCTGTGTAAAACTGACGTATTTACATACAAATTGCAAACTGTACACACACATATGTAACACACACACACAACACACTACATGATGGATCCAACTAGCGAAACTTAATAATGAATTAATGATCAGTCTTCAAATAGATATGATCCCGTCAACAGGACCACACTTCATTACAAATATATTGTTTATCACTCTGTTACTGAGTCAAACTTAAAACAGAAGTACATTTAAAAGTTACAACTTACAAGAGTTACAAACAAAAAGCACTGCTGGTTAGACTTCACCAAAAAAAATTACATCACATTGAAGCGAAAAGTATTTATAGAATTACATCATCTATAAATTATCAAGCAACCCGCACTTACTAATTCTAAAAAAATTGTGTTACAAGCATGACATTAAAATTTCAGAAATACAGAAGATGATTAAATCACCGTATATTAATCTATAGCCAAAATTCTCAATACTAGGCTAATTATTACACTAACTGGGTCTATAGAACATTACAAAAGGTTCACGTATTTGTTTTAACAATACCAGAATTATTTTCTAAAACATAAGCATTATACCTTCAGTTTAGTGCGAGGCTCGGAATGGTCATATAGATATTAAAAAAAAAACATGTTTCTAATATTTAAATAAAAACACTGGGGTTGAGTCACTGGAAAATTATATTATTTTACCTAATATGTATATTTAACGGTCAAATTTATCTACTATAATATAAAAATGAGAAAACTGCAATGCCATATGCCTACAATATTATATAACATTAAAAATGTTGAATATTTCATGAGCTTAAAAATAAGTTTCACTCTAATTATTATATATATTGCTGCAATTTTAGGAAAAATAGTAATTGCTTTAAAGGTCCTTTAGAATAATTTGATTTAAATTATTAATTATGTCATTAATTGGACATATTGGCATGCAGCTAACTGGCATCAACTGTTTCAAAACTTATAAGTATGATATACATAAGTCAGTCGAATCTTCTACCTAACAATAAGAATAAGCCTGCAACAACACAAAGTGAAATACAGTAAAGACATTTGAGACTTAACTAAGCACAGCGCCAAACTATGTCCTGATTCCCTATACTTAACTCATTCTTCTTTACTTTGTAAAAAGAAAATTAACAAAACACAGACTTATCAATTTGTCACTTTGGAAAAGACAACTTAACACTAATAACTAAAAATATTCGAGGAGGATAAGGAGTACTCTTCCACTGGAAGCAAAATTAAACCGAGGGACTAGTTCAATGCACTCACGAGTGTTTGACGACGATGACGCCTGGTCTCTGTGGCGGAGTGACCTCGGCTTTCTTGGTGAGCGCGAGCGGAGCGTCGCTTGTCTCTTCACGGAACAGATGGTCTCCTTCTAAATGGCGGATAGCTTCCACTATTGTTTCGAGATTCTGCCGACTTGTACTAGCCAGGTACAACCGGGAAGGTTGATCATGAGCAGCATCAGGAAGAACCTCAACTTCAACACGCGGCTCTGCTTTGATAGCAGCTTCCAGTAGGGGTGCTGTTGGAGCTTCAACTACTGGTGGTGAATCAACCTCTTTTTCCTCTGTCTTACACTCGGAAGCTTCGGTTTCTTCATATTCCAGAACTGCATGAGTAACTTCTCTTGGTTCGGGGTAAATCTGAACTTCTAAAGCACTCAAACGTTCTTCAAGTAACCGTCTTAGTTGCCTCTCTCTTTCCAATTGAATCAGCAGCTCGCCATTATCAGGTTCCTTCTTTTGTAGTAAATTTGAAACTGTAACCATTGCTACAGTATCAGCAGATCTTGTGTTAATAGTGTCCTCAGTTGAGTCTGGTACTATTGAGGGAACATGTGTAATGATCTCATTCTTTCTTTTCTTTAACGGTATTTCACCCCCTTCATGTTGGTTCAATAACCTCTTTAATTGACAGTTCTGTGACAACAGTCTGGTCTTTTCTTGTTCAAGGGAGTAGATGTACTCAGCCGTTTGTTGCAGTATGGCAGCCTACAATAGGAATGAATTCATATTAGAAATTTAAGAAATGTTTAGATTTAGGGATAATTATGGTTAATGTATGAATAAATATTTTAATACTATAAGTATTCAATTATTTTATCTAAGACATTTGTTTACAATAAAGTTACATTGCCCAAAAAAAACATTGAAAACGAATACAGGAGTGTTTGTTTGCGTCTTAAATATTTAAAATGAAAAATTAACTACCTTGCTAAGTTTTTCTCCTTCATGTCTAGGTAATAGTGTTCGCAAAGCCTGAAAACCAGCATTGATGCTTTGCATACGTCTGCGTTCGTTGCTGTTTGCAATCTCTCGCCTGATTCTTTTTTCTGCCTCCATAGTCTTTCCGCCAGATAATGAGTGTCTGTCACTTCTGAAATATTAATTAGTTATCTTCAATGTAAATACACACAAGTGTCTAAAATATCAAATATTGCTATTTTAACGAGCTTACAAATACTACGTTTTTGCTATATTGTATCAATTCTTACCCATTTATGTATTTAGTTTATTGATCTGTCATTGAAAAAGAAGTAAAGAAAACATTTAATGAATAGAGCGATGTAAAATAAGTACAGATGGTAATATTACGATAAACCACATGTTCTGTAGTGCCGTGGGTACATATAGCGCTTACTACGCCTATTTAACACAACCAAACATGGCGGCACAACAGCTGACTACGGGCCGGCACGGGGCGGGATCAATTAATATTCATTGCAATTTTGGCGACTTCTTACAAATATTACAAAGTTTGAACATTACAAAATAACATAAAAAATATTTGAATGATATCTAAGTAGTACACAAGAAATCTAGGGATCCACGCCGGGTTCTTACCTTGGGATAGCGTGATCTGGCGCGTCTTCTTCGTATAAGTTGTAATCTTCCACTTCTAACAAACAAGCATCATTACTATCTAATGACATAACTTGAGCACAAATTACACTAATACAAAGGACTCTTCTCGACCAATATTCAATAAAAACATAAAAGTTAGCAAAGCAAATGGCGGGAAATGACAATGAGCTCAGTCAGGTGACGCTACACAAATTTAACACAGCAAGAAGTAATACACCACGTAAAACTCTTCACATCACTAATTAATCACTATATTTAATCTCAATTACAACTTTTATACGCAAAATCTATCAAGTTATCTACGAAAAATTGTATTTTTACAAAGAGGATCACGGACAACTCTAAAAACACGACATATCGATATGTTTACCAAAGATTATAGAGTGAAGACTTCAGAATATAAACGAGGAACAAATCATAGACTAGGTTTTTGAATATGTATTAAAATATTGTATTGCTTTTATTTTTTTTATTCTTATTATACTACCTACTCAATAATTTATATTTTGTATAATATAAGTTTAGTACTTCAGTTTGGCACCGAATATTAAGTTGGAAGGTACTATTACTACAACGAAGGTATAAAAAATAAATTTCCTAAAGTTTAATATTTCAATTGTAATAAATTGTTCTGTTATCATTAAATAAATTAACATTTTTTTTTTAATTTGTCTCTTGGCTTAGAAATATTTAAAAACATATCGATATTCTTAGAATGTTTAAAATTTTAAAAATTTATCAATAATATATTAATAGTAAAGGAAAGACCAAAAAGTTGATCGCATCAGCTATTTTCTGTAGATTGTCATAATGTACAAAAGAGTTTCATGATGTTGTCGAAATTGACGCGTCGTAGTAAGAACAACCAATCGCTTGAAGTTTCAAATTTGAATTTGTTCTCAGTGGGTGGAGATTTTGTCCTGCCGCCATATTGTGCTGAGCTGTGAGTGCTGGAAGTGAATTTTTGTTAAATTTGGTAGTGTTTATACTTTGCCTTAATTATTCGGATTGAAAAGTCTAAAGGTAAGAAAATATTAGTATAACTTTTTGTCATCATAATCGTTAATATATATTAAGTATTATGATATAATAAATTAAATTTCGTCACCGGCAGTTACATAGTCGCAATTTAAAAAAAATATTTCATGCCACTTGGTTTATTAATTAAAACCATGTGGACTATATTTTGCTGTAGCTTAAGTATTTAATAAATTTGTATTTATTATTGTCTAAATGGTTATGTATCTCTTGTCGTTTCAAATCCAGCGTGAACACGACATGTTACTTATAAGTACGGACACAAAAAACTGAAAACGCATTTAGGGAAATAGTCTGGCAAAATATAACGAATTTTAGTCATATTAATATATATTTTTTGTTGGTTTAATTAAGATTTCTGGAACATGGGAATACCGGTATAATTGCATACATAAGTTATCGAGCGATGAATCATCGTTGAAAAGTGAACCGATGCAAGCTATTAAACAAAGGTTTAGACACTGTTGCGTTATCTATTTATGTTATTTATATCATTATTTACCCGTATAGATTCACGCATTCCTTATTAAAGAGACCCTACGGTTTTCAGAAAACGGAATAATATGTTGAATTGGTTGCATCTGTCGAGTTTTTTTTTAATTTTCTTGACGTCCCATATTTTGTGTATATTTCGAAATGTAAAATGGGGATTACACACAGGACAATACAAAAAATTCTGTATTCCTAAAAATACTTGGTTATATCAACCACTTTGTAAAAGTTTGTTGTGATATAAGAATTTTTCTGCATTTATAGCATATAGCATATATAAAGCTAATAAGCAATCCTTGAATTCCTTTTACTATAAGACCTTGAAACATATCAAGGTAGATATTTACTCCCAAAGAGTCACCTTTTGTACTAACATTTTAGTAGACAATGTTATCAACTTTATAACCATATCCAATTACCATGTCGGCCTTTATCTAATTTGATTCAGCATATAGGTATAAACACATTAAATTGTAGTAGAGTAGTCATTATTAAATGTTTGTGTATAAGATAGGAGCTGTGTTCAATAGTAGTTATTTATAGTAAATGGTCTGATATTTTCTCGGTTAACTTCTTGACTATTATCCTCCTTATACAATAAAGAGCCTTATTGAACTAAGGCATTCAAATAACATATTATTAGATTACAATATTTTTAATATGCCATTGCCCTACATATTATTTAATGATTTTAATGGTACTATATTTATTGAAATGTAGTGTAAATAAATAATTATTATTTGAATATTAATATTTGAACATGATCTTTACTTATTTATTAGTATTAGTAATATGGTATATAGAAACTGAGAATAATAAGGTAAAATGAGCATGACTCATATACTTAGAAATGATACATTGAAACAAAAGGAAATTATGATGACTTATACTGTACTTATTTCCTATTATTATAATTATAGGACTTATTTATTCATTCACAACAAGGTAATATTATTATATCTTGAATAGAAATACTTAAAAATTTATATTATTACTTTTTATTCTAAAACTATTTTTAGCTGTCCTTCATTAACTAAGGGATAATCCCTAGACTATAATACTATTATGGAATATAGTCATGTATTTTAAGCACACAACATTTTAACCTACATAAGATAATGAGATGCACCTTTTTTATCCTACTATAATTGTTGTACTAACAAAAACCTTAATTAGCATGAATGCTAATGTGATGTTGATACAAATAACAGTTACATTAAAGTTTGTACTATTAATGCTGCAGTCGTTTATTAATTATATTCTTGCTATGAATAAACGTAAGTAAACATCGAAAAGATAGCAGTACTTTAATATGTACGACTTGTGCTACATGTTCCTTCGTGTGTGCTACTCGTGCGGAAAGGTGGTTTAAGTGAAAGTGTACAATATTAATTATATATTATATTTATAATTCAAGTGAAGAATAAATATTATATTTGAAAATTTTGTAATATTGTGGTTTTGATAGCTAAGCATCGAGAATGGGTGCAAAGCAGAGCAAGCGCTCCGTGGACATAAGCGGAAAGGAAGCGGAGAGCGCCGGCGAGGTGGCAGCGGCCGGAGCTGGCGGTGAAGGTCGTATGGAACAATTAGCAGACGCTGATGCGCTGAAGCCTCAGGCCAATGGCGATGCCCATATACAGGATACCCTTGTGAGTACACCACCATACCCACATTAATATTGAAAAATAATTGCGCAGCTACCATGGAGTTTTTTATAAGAGATGCAAGGTTTGAAAAGTGTCAAATGCTCTGCGTACGTGGCAGATAAGAAATATTTAAATGAACAGTAATAGTGTTTTTCAATATTGTTTGTTGAGCTTAGTGATGCTTTAAACCAGCAAATTAGATTTTTCGTCAATTCAAAACTAGAACGTCTTTAACAAACCACAAACATGCCCAAAATATTACTACCAGTAAAAAACGAAGTTTAATACCCAATTATGTACCCGCATATTTTGTATTCAAGCGACAACCGCGACGGATATTGGATCGGGGCTGTGAATTAGCAATTGTTAAATATATTTAATATGTAAAGGGTTTCAATAGGACATACACAATTTTTTTATATTATGTATTTTCTGGTTCTACCGAAACTATGCCTAAAACTTACAACACACTATCTCTTCCTTTTGCATTGGATACGTTTTTTAGGGTATAATTTCCTAAAACCTTTAATGATTTTCAAATAATTAACTCAATGGTATATTTATTCTTTGAGTTTATAAGAATATTAATAATCAGGAAAAAGAAAAGCAAATCGACAGTGGCACCCCAGAGAACGAAAAAGATGCAACGACGGAGAAGGAAGTAAAAGATCAAGAAGAGAATGAAAAAGATAAGGAGACATCTGTGGCGAACGGGGAGAGTGAGACAAAGGAAAACGGAGAGAGTACAACGTCGCCGGACGATGGCAAAAAGAACAAAAAGGAAAAGGTAGTTTATATTATTACACGCTGCATAAAGTAATTTAGTAATTATAAGTTTAAATTACTCAATTTATGCAATGGGTCCAAACTCCGTTTGGTGCGTATTTTACAAATTCTTCAAATGTGAAGTGTATTTTTTTTTTTGTATAAACTGAGTTGTTTGACAGGTTAAGAAGAAATGGTCGCTAAGGTCGATCAGTTTTAGCAGAAAGGATAAGCCGAAGCAGGAAAAGAAACAAAAAGACGAGGAGGTGAAAACCAACGGCGAGCCAGAGAAAGTTCCTGAAGAGGTAAGATATTTCGATAAACACTATTGTATTACCAAAATAGTTATTTATAATTATAATCAGTTTCTCTTTAATATTATTAAGTTGATGGCATAATAAAGATTAATCTTTGAAATTATGGCCATAGTGGTAAACATCACGCATCAAATATAGGTACATGTTAAATATTTCATCATTATTATTAAAGCAACAAATCTTTTATTAACTTATTAATGTTATGTATTTCAATCTTTCTTTTTATGGTTGAATGAGTCGAAACATACGTTACATGAAATAAAACTAATTTGAACGATTTCATTTAATTGTAAGATTACTTAATGAATGGTTATTTTTCGATGCTTAACATCCAAACTTAATGTAGCTCAAGGTTTTAAGAAATACGATAAGCTTCAATTAAAACCTTAATGTTTCCAATAAATAAATTTAAGAAAATAAATTTTATAAATACCCAGATTCTTTTTAAAACCTATATCAGACTTCACTATCTACGACTATCAGATGATGGCAATTATTTCCTCTCAAACATAAAAGGATTTTAATCCGAGAACATGCATAAAGTATGGAAATGTCTTCCCAATTTCTCCCAAAGCCTTGATAAATTGCTTTATAAATAAACCTCTATAATCCATCGGCTACTTGTTATCCGAATAAGTTTTGGGTTACAGTAAACACTAAAACATTAGTATTTTAAGCAATAGCTTTCTAGCTCTCAACGGATGTCTCTTTGGTATTCAGTCAACGTTTCTTAGTGAGAAGGCACAATGCAATGTACATTCGCTCGGACCCTCGTTGCAATGACTCCATCCATTATTGGACTGTCATGACCCACTTTCGTTTCTCTCACCCTGTTAACACTCTAAGAACAGTATTAAAATATTTAAACGTAAAATATGATTAAAGTGCTTAAAAATGTAATGCCATTGACCTCGCGCTAACTTATCGACGAGCGCGACGTAAAATCGCATGTACGGGTTCGAGGGCACTCAATACTGCTTTCTATGTCAAATCTAAATATATTTCATCCTTGAATGTTGGCGATCGTCTTAATTTATATATATATACACACCTTATATATATAGATTATTAGTCGGCAAGGCAAATGTATTGTTTGTTTGTTGGTTTGGAAGTAACCTTGCGGTTAGGACAGGGTTAGCAACTGTGATTTCTATTACAAGTATCTATTGCGTTGTAGGTGCAATGCACTCAAACTGAGGCGGACGACGTCGCGTCGCGAACAATGCACATTATGATTCAAAGTGGCTCTATATCCGCGCTAAGCAAACGTGAGCCGCTATTGTCTTAACTATATCGTGCCATTATCCATACATCACTTCATTGACGACCCATGCCTTCCAACTGTCTGCGATTAAGCAAATGTCGACGCCGAACCGGTCTAGTAAGGTTTACTTGAAGTTCGCGAATGCTAAAATTGATATTGTGCGAAAGTTGGTTTACCAGTAAGCTCCTAGAAGCAGTATTTTAAGAGTTTGAGATCCAAAAGCATTGGGACGTTTTGTTTGTCTCAATTAAAACAAAGTGGCCATCAATTAATTTAGATTAAGCTGGAGTAACATTGTGTTTTATTGTTAATGTACGATGTGTCACTCTATGCCAAATATTTAATACAACTCATGCTATAGATTGAGTACTTTATTTTGGTCAGATAGAAAATACCAACAATTCTTTATACCAAAACTTTCTTGAACATTCACTCGTAATATTACCCTTGTTTTAAGTGACTTGTATACGAAAGCCGGTTACTGTGACGAACCTATAATAGTTAAAATCGCTAACCCGTGTAGATTAAAATTATTTTATGTATCTTCATTCATATTATTGTAGATTAAATGTGTATAATTAATAATATAATCATTTTTGAAACATTAGCGATATACTGAGTTCGAGATTAGATGGGTTCATCTTACTTTTAAGAAAAATACATTTAAATTTTTGCATTTACAAACCGATTTTTGTTTATACCTAAATTTTATTGTGGTGTAGAATGGATATGTACGTAACATAACGATACGAGTAATGTGTTTATGTCTCATTCCGGAGCACACATGTTGACGTACGGTCATTAGCTCACGAGAACGCTCCCACAAGGAGATTTGACACGCTTGAACAATACCCTATATTTTTTTATAATTATAAATGCGTCTTTCCATTTTCCCGCTAAAGGTTATACGGTATCGGGCCGATATTTTTATAAGCTTTTAAATGCCAATACTCATTAGTTGTAAACTGAGCAAACGGCATCGGCATTATAAAACGTGTATTATTTCTTACCATGTTATTTCTATAAAATGTATAGTGACGATGAAAACAAATTGAGTACTAATTTTAGGATTTATAATAAGGCCGCGTAGTTTAAAACAAAGTACATATATTTATTTAAATGGACTGGATATTTTTTAAAACAGCAGAAAAAAAGCTTAGATAGTTATAATAATAGAATACTTCATCTAATGTGGTCAGTGGCTATAAAATAACGTTTAAATCGTATGTCGTGTTGGCGTCTAAGCAGGGAATGTTTTGAAACACGTTTGTTAGGTGCAAAATAAAATTAGCAGAGCGGGGCAGGTTTTGCGAGGTCTGTAGTGGGCGTGGGGGCGAAGGCCGATGCGATTGCAAACTATCCATGTGCCATTGCATACTTCGTGAAGATTTATATAAAGCTACAGACATTTTTACTACAGATATATGTTTTAAGTATTCTTGAAAAACACTATGATACAATTTCTTGCCTCTACTTCAGGTCAAAGTGTAACTGTTTAATTATTAAAAGATCCCTTAATTGTTTTCTTAAAATATAATAGCCGGGCTTAAGAGAACCAGTATACTATCTGTGAGCAGGACCGGTTTGAGTCGTGTTCGTTAGAACGGCATCGCATGAACAATGATCCACTTATATATTTTGTATACATGTACTAATATGCGACGTAACCCGACCAAACAGTTCATGTAGCATGTTTACCAAATGGCCGCCACGGTGCGTCTCATCTGTCGTATTTTCATAATACCAACGTTCAATGGAGTTTTGACATAACAAGGAAAGATTCCATTTCCTATCGACAGCTATTGTTGTGTGTTTTTTTTTGTTATCCGGCAGTCTTGTGGGAACGCAAGAGGGACGGCTATTAAATTAACCATTGTTATCCCATTATGCGACAGTCTATTTTTGTCGCGATGTATGATAACGACTCGAAGAGAAGTACCTGCTTGCTAAAACTTTTAATTTGATTCAAATAATATAATTTCGTTATATCGAATAGCGAAACAAATCGGCCAGAGTTATCTTAGAACTGCATTGGTTAAATCAAAACGTGTATACAACAAAAACGGGTTTAACTTATGCCGTAGATGTTTTCACACTATATGGTAGTACATAACAAATTGAATATTTATAGTAATATTTTTGCATTGTTTTATTAATTGTCTTTGTGAAGGCAGTAATTCGATAGCCGGTCAGCGATTGGTGTAATCGGTGCCAAGATAGGGCGACAACCTCAGATAGCGAGAGCAAGTAGCTAGGAGTTATTTGATAGTATTGCGTTGCGTCTGGACCGGCTCGTCAAGATGCTGCTATCACCGCCTGATTCAAATAACTGCCTCGGTCACACGGTATTGAGTGCTCGTCACATATGTCACGGGGATATTTCTATACTTAAATATTACTGTTATAATCTTTATAAATCGGTTCAAGTTCATAGTTGGTTATGATTTCGCTTGAGTAATCTGAAACACTAGCTAGTCGGTAGGTTGAAGTTTGTGTAATAATAAAGCATATCTTTTACAGTGAAAATTATAGATTTATTGCTTTAATTCACAATATTTTTCTTACTATTAAATAAACTCTAAAAGAAACCTGTAATGTTACATGTAATTTTACTATGAGGCAACCATGTCTACCATTTTTTTAAAATTAAATCTCCAAAGGTTTCTCTATCGTCATCACTCATAATGGGAAGTGAGAACTACAAAACACCTGTTTTTGTTATATTTAAATTAAAACTTTAACAAAAAACCACCATCGAAATAGGCATATTGTTATAGAGCGGAAAATCGTTTCCATAGCCAGAAAGCCATTGTTATGTGATGGTGACTCACCCAGTTTACCGTTATCGGATGGATAAATGAGCGCGCATTTACTATCGAAATAAGTACTAACTCCCTCGATGTATGCAATTAGGAAGGTGTATATGAATCACACCATTGTTCAAAAATCTTTTGTATACAAAACCTTTGAAAACAATATATAATAATGAGTTTTTAATACGTCATTCTGATAAATAATACTAAGCTAATTAAATGATTAAAAAGAGGCTGCTGAAGGGTACTTTAAAATTCATTATATAAAGTAAAAAAGATGGTGTTTGCTTAATTGAGCTTGAGCCCAAGGGAGCTGCTTTGGCATATTAAAATTCTCTAAAATTGTAATAACGCATTACTAATGGTAAGTGGTAAACTGTAAGTACATAATATTAAAACACAATAGATATACGGAGCGTTATTTAAACAAAACGTTGTTTCCTGTGCGTGACTGTCGTTCGTCGGATGTATTGTCCGATGTTTTTAATTTACTTTCGTTTCGGACTATGCTTTCGTTTACCTTGCTCTTCGTAAAAGGGGAAATAGCACCACAGCCATTCATCTACATAATTACGTGTTATACTCAGTGTAAATATATGTTGTTTCGAATGTTCTCTACAATTACAAAATATTGTTTTAGTTTGTTAAGTGCCCTATCCACTATTGGTATTTTAAAGTGGCAACGGACTGACTAAAATAATAAATAAAACATGATGCCTCATGTATATCGTGAAAAAGAGTTCTGACGCAGTTCCCGAACTGCGCATAATCCAGCACTAGTTGGACTCAGACTAACTTTCAGGTTTTTTGTTAGAAGGTTTATTCTGTGACTAAAAGTTTATAAACAGCAGTCACGTACGGCAGCAGCAGGCATACGTCTGTCCCGTGGCCGATTTTTGTAGTACGGCATTTTACTCATGGCACAATAAGAATTTTATAAGAACACTGGTCATAATAACAGTAATGTATATAGTTGTAGATTTTTGTCCCAGATATTTTTTTCTCATTACAATTTATTAATATTTGAATTAATCGAGCAGACAAAACTTAATCCACAGACAGGACATAGACAGTTATCTGCGGTTAACAGTTACACATAAATTTTATATTCAAGACTACTTTAGCGTCTGTATTTTGTATGCTCATCAAATAAATGCGTGTTCCGGCCGCACACAGGAAATCGAAATTAAACGATTAGAATATTTTTGTAAATCTCTTTGGTAGATCCACTGAATCCAAACAAACATACCATGTTTGCTTTTTTATAAATAAAATTTACGAATTACTTTCCATTTCCAATAAATAATGTCTCTGGTCCATTAAAATAGCCTAGCATTTTAATTTATTTAAAAGTTATCTTAGTACTCTCGGTTGTATTTATTACAGAAAGCATATAATGTATCATACTGCATACATATACAATGTTAGTTCGTATTTCCATTCCAGTAAACAAAGGCGACCTTGTAAGCTGGTATCGTTTTATTTCTGCAGTTCTGCGGTTGCGAGTACAGAAAACTGGTAGCTTATTAATTTACCAAGAATAGAAAGCATTGTCTTTCGTTTACATATCGATACGGGGATAATGTAATATTATATTTATCATTTGTTAACGAAAAGCCACGTCAGAGATGTACATCATGTACGACGTGGCTTTTCGTCTCTTGATCTCTCTCGTCTTTGGATTAAATCTTTTTGTCCGCTGTAAGGAATATAAATGAGTAGTGTAATTTATAAGCTATAATTTAATATTTTGTTATCTTCATCACAATCATGTTAATTTATACTTGTAACGTTAATAATAATTATTTACGTTCCTACGTTTCGTTAGGCTGTTATACAATTATTGTATAAAAGCCTAACGAAACGTAGGAACCCTAAGACCTAAGAGCAATTTAATATTATGTTTAGGATGGATGAACAAATCATTGAAGGATAACCCATGCTTGTAATAAAATGAAGATAATCAGTCATGCATAACAAGGAATACTATTAAACATTGTAGGTTTTGATACAATACATCAGTTTGTTGTTGTAATCTAACAGAGTTTGACATATCCATTTAGTGGTGACTTATATTATGGTTAATAATTACTTAGATATGAGAACTTAATATATCTATTAGTTATACATTTGCACCATACCGTTGAATGAATCTTATTTATAGGTTTTTTATTTTTGTAGGCTGCTGAGACTACTCCTGAAAACGCAGAAATAGAAGTTGCTGCTGAAACTAAGCCTGAAACAGAAAACAAAGATGAAAATACACCTGAAACTCCAGTGACAGAGCCACTGACAAATGGAAGCAGCACGCCCGAAACTTCTAAAGTAGAAACTCCTATCGCCGAGGAACCCAAAAATGAGGACGCCGGAGACATCAGGCCGGAACCGAAAGTGGAAGCCGTCGAACCCGAGCAATTGCCTGTAAATGGTCTTTCTCTTGAAGAAACAAAAAAGGTGGAACCCGAAGTTCCAGTTATTGATTCAAACAAGACCGAGGAGTCTAAAGTAGAAATCACGGAATCGGTGCCTACACCCGAAAGTCCCGTTAAGAAAGAGGTTTGTGTCGATCAAACGCCCTTGATAGAGCCTACGCCACCTCCCCTTCCCGCTAATCCTCCTCCATCGTCCGTGGCTTCCTTTGCCGCAACCACCATGGCTCCTGAACTTACTGATGCTTCTCTCAATAACAACGCTGATAGTACAGAATCTGCACCCGCCGATGCCACACCCGTTAATGTTGAAAACACAAATATGGACCCTACTCCTACCGACACAAAAATTTGCGACGAACTCGAAACTATTGAATCACCCGCACCTCTCACCGATGTAACGCAAATGGAAGACGCAATCTTGTCTGAACAATGTTCGGCCAATGAAGTTACACTGGATACCTTACCGAGTCAGGACGATCACGACGTTTCTACCAAGACAGTAGAAGAAACTGTCTGTGATGTTGAGACTAAATCTTCCCTCGTGGAAAATGAAAACGTATTACCAGCCGAACCCGAAACTGAGAAACCCGCAGAAGCTGCTCCACTAGAATCCGCGGAGACGGAGGAGATTGTCGACGAACAAACTCCTGCTACTACCGAAGATTTAACAAAAGAAATTAGCAATAGCGAAATCTCAAAGATGGAGCAGGACAGCGGTATTTGCGAATCGAAAGAGACAGATGTCGACACAAGTATTATTTCACAGAATGGCCTAAATCACAGCTCGGTCGAAGCGATCGAAACAGAGTGTTTAAAAGCGAAGGCCAAAGAGATGATCAAAAGTGCGGAAGTAATGTTAAACGGCGACGCGTTGACGAACGGCGAGCGGTCTCTGCATGAGCCCGAGGATGAGCTGCTTTCGGGGCCCGACGAGGAGACGCAATCGTTCCCGCCGCCAGATGACCTTAGCCCCGAGCCGGAGATACCCGCCTCGCCCCCACAGGTGACTAGCGCCCGTAGAGGAAATAGTATCCTTGGAGCATTTTGGTATCATGTTAACAGTTCTTAGTAGTTGAGCATCCTTCTCTCAGCATGTGTGACGTCAATAACCGGAAGAGAAGATTGAACGATTAAATACGACTACCCTGTATATTCGCCCTTCCCACCGACCTTTCCGAGCGAATCCGCTTTCACTAGAACTTTCCCGCATGCGTTTACGCTTTTTGCTGTTATACTATGCTTTGGTTGTTTAATAGCAAGAAACATCATTATTATTTTACTTTGCACCAAATGTTCATAGTTCACCTTTGACTGTATTTAGTTTGTACACAGAAACAATTAATGAATTAACGATCGAATTTAATCTAAAGGAAATCTTAATTAATTAAAACTTTCTTCTTGAAATATATTTGAAGTCGTGATTATTAAAAATTAATATCTTATTGAAATTAAAGTTGCCTTTAGATTCTCTTAGATATATTGGCTATGTCCTTTGTGTTAACATTTCATAACTGTAACTTAGCACTGATCATGTTTTCATACAAATATTTGAATATTTGCACTGTATATTATTTGCAAATTTCCGATCTTTCAAAATAAAATTATTAATTTGATTTATAATTTTAGGAGCCCCTACCAATTGCCGATAAAATGGCCGAACTCATTCCTGAAATTCCAACTATACCAGAACTAAACACGGAAACGGTAAGTAATCATAAGTTCCATTGTGCCGCTACTGTTAATTAAGAATCTTATAATTGTGGAGTTTTCGTTTGCCAGGAGACGACAACCGACGTGGCGGTGGCGAACTAAGCTCGGAGTCACACCAAGCTCCAGGATACGTCTAAAAGAGCCTTTTATTTATTTCCTTTTAGTACTGTGGTGTATATCGAACTAAGTTCGAGTATGAATTTTATTATCAATATGGATTTCAGTTTGGAATGTGACCTACATATTATAGAATGTTTATGCTCTAAGTTTAGCGTGCTTGCTTATATAAAATTAAGATTTTATACATTTTAAAATCGCTAAGATCGATCTTTTTTAATTATATACAATAACAAAGTTATGTAGGCAGTATACGGTGCGATAAGTTGGTGCCATTATTACAGGGGTATTAGTTGACGTTTGGATTTTTTTTTTATTTTATTTTTTATTTTTTTGGACTCTCTCCTAAATAGATTGTGTTAGCGATTTAGTATCTACGTAGCTGATGTTAAATTCGTTAAAATACAATCAGATTATTTGCATTTCGGACCAAATTAGGTTTTAAATAATTTGTTTGCGATAGTATGTGCAACTTTAGTTTACAATAACACTTTAAGACCATGTATTCTTGAACATGTCACTTCATTGTATATATATTTGAATCACTTCCCAAAAAATATTAATTTTGTTGCATAAAAAATACAACATTATACATTGTTATGTTGTATTAAATATAATTTTTTTTATATTTTGTATTCTATGCACTCATGTTAAATTTATTCCTATTATTTTATAATCAAATAAGTTATATATTAGTTTGGATGAGCTCTCTGTAATACAAGCATTTATGAATTCAATTGATGTATTGGTAAGTCGCTCCTATGGCAAGTGAGATACGGTAAATTGGTTAGGCATATTTGCGAATAAATTCATGTATAAAAATTCGACTTTAAGATTGTGGCAATTAAAATTTTGACGTAGCTTTCAGCGGCCAAGTTTTTTGATTGAACTATACATTTTTTATGCATATACAGACAACAATTAATTATATTATAATATTTAGATGATTAGTTCATGTAACATTTTAGAAAATGCAGTGCAGTAGTGCTGCTTAGAATATTCCACCTCATACATACATTTAGATTTAATATATTATTATGTAAGGTTTGATATTGATATACAATAATTAATAGTTATGGTGTCATTTTTCTAAAACTGTGTCCATATAATTATTTCCTGATAATTTTTGTAATTTTATACGTTTCTACTATTAAATTAAAAGTGACACATGCATGAGTGAGGTCAGGTATTATCTTGAAACTATTAGCCGTAAATATATGAGTGAGACATTCCATATCAAAATATGTAGGATGATTCGTGATTCTCTCGTTTTATAACTTTTTGCTCATGAGTAGAAATTTATGTTGGCAATTTTTATACCCGACATACTTAGCAAATATCTAGTAAGTAACAAACATGCACACTAAATAAAAAAGACAGCTAGCTTTTATTGTAATATTTTTAGAACAGTCTGTGATTGTACATACTGTGATTATATTTTTGGAAACAACTTTGAAGATCACTATGAAAACTTTTCTGTCGACATCACGACATAGTAACGCTCAATAAACATCGCCCCATCATTATTTGTATAATTATAAGTGGCAGCTGATATTATAACTCTAAATGTACTGTGTAATATATATTTTTTCTTTTGTGTGACAATAATTACATCACAAATTTTGATTTAAATTAATTCATTTAATTTATAATACTTTGGCACAATATGTAAATTGCTACATTTAAGCTGTTTGTCATGTATTGATAAAATTTGATGTTGATGTGTGAATGTCTCGAATAAATTTATAGAATTGTAATTGGTTTTTGAATTCGCACACCCTATTTTATTACATTTATAAAATGTATATTTTAATGTCTCAAATGTTAGTTATATTCTATATAAAGTTGATCAAAGTTGGCAAAATATGTATGAGTTACTCATTAAGTACTTTCGATGCTATTATTTACTAGCGACTCGCATCGCATGGGCAACCGTGTACCGACATTCGGGTCAATAAATTTTAGCCTACGACACTTACAAATAACGAGGTTTTCTATTGGTTAATAATTTTCAAAATTGGATAGTTGATCAAGAAAGTTGCAGTAGACAACTTCACGAACTGTACGTATATAATAATTATTATTAATATAGATTATTTTCCTAGTGGTCCCGCCGGGCTACTTTAGTAGTCTCCCTTATGCGGGCTACACACCTTCAGTTTTAACTGTACAGTTAAATCGTTAGGTGTGTAGAACAAACAGTTGAACTGTACAGTTTGAACTGAATCTAATCAAAATATGAATAGATAAATCTGTACAGTTAAAACTGAGAGTGTGTAGTCGAAACTGCGCCGTTTTTTCACAGCGAGCGTGAAGTGAACACGTATCGACCTTGCTATCTGCCTTTGCGAAAACTTATCGACCATGGCTCAACGCGAATGGCTAGAAGAGTTTATACTACTATACCAATCGGAGCCTTCGTTATGGAAAATCAAGAGCAAGGATAATCATAATAGAGTAATAAAAGATTCAGCTTATGAAAAGCTTATTTTAAAACTACGCGAAATAGATTCTAACAGCCTGGCCACGGGACATTCGCCGACGCGAATATTCGCGCGGTGCGAACCGCGATGCGTCTAGCGACTGAAATAAACTCATAGCAATGTACTAATCAAGCCACGCGCAACGGCGACCAGCGATGCGACCGGCGAAATGTACCGAGCGAATCGCGCGGGCGACTGACGTCGCGACGGGCGAGCGAAACAAATGCATGAATCAGTACGGTGCAAGCCACGGAGTCGAGCGGCAGTCGCGGCGAATAGAGAAGGGAATAAATAAGTTTAGTCGTGGTCGCGGCGAAAAATGAATACAGAGTTTTTTGTTACTGAAATACTGGCTAGACCAGCTATTTGGAAGTCTGGCCATCCACAGCATTAATTTAATATACCTTAATCTCAAAAACAATTTTTCAGCGGCACTTAAAATTCTATTTGCATTAACTTTTTCTCCAATTCTGGTTGAATATTCATAAGAATATAATTGAAGGTTTCAATACTCATTCTGGTATACTCAAAAAAATAATTCTGGATATATTCTGAATTTCTCATACTTCTTGTGGAATTCTCCACAATTTCTCCAAATATTAGGTCTTGCACCAAAAGCTATTACTTTCCAAGCAATATCGAGATGATTTCGATAAAGACATTTCGCTGTCGAACTTCCTTACTGGTCGCGGCGGCAAACGTGACTGGTCCGTGGCCTGCAAACGGCCCCGCGCAAATGGTCGCCTCGCCTCCCGCATCGCCGTTCGCACCGCCGATCCCCGTGGCCAGGCCGTAAATGTAACAAAGAGGCTGTTATAAAGAAAATTAATAAGCGTCGTCTATGGAGGCCATGATGATAAAAACTGAAAGATCGTATATTTTTACTTGATCGTGTGTAGGCTGTATGGACCTACGTTTTAACTGTACAGTTAAATCGCACAGTTAAAACTGAAGGTGTATAGCCCGCTTTACTCGCACTTTTTTTTTTTTAATGGCTCTAGCACGATTTGTGCATTAGCCAGCGTCAAGTATACGATTTTGGATGTAGAAAGTCAAAAAATAAATTTGTATGAAAACTTTTCGACACGAACTGTCATTTTCATACAAATTAAGTGGTTTTGTCTCAAGCCTAAGTTTATTGTTTACAAGCTCGACCTCTTCATGGTCTGTGACAGAGAGTTTGTGAACTTGCATTATTGTATACTATGTTAGTATTTACTATTTAATTTTCTAAAGTAAACGTTTGGTTATAGACTTTACTTGATCAAATATCTGTGATATTGGGATTTAATCAGATTAGCAGAGTGAAGTGGATACCTTTTCTCTGTTAAAAATTTAAATTTTTAATGATGGATAAAATATTTAAAATAGACTCATTTGAAGAGTTTTCAGTTGTTAGTACATACTTTAAATTTGGGACTTATCATTAATATAATTGACATTCCTATTGCATTTTACTAATCATGTTTTCATTAACTTACAGACATGCGATAATATATTTACAAATTTGCTGGACCCAGAGGTTGGAGGCCTGTGTGAGAATGAACTTATAGATTCAGCCAGTAAACAAACGCGTGATTTAATACTGTCTTCATATGGTAATATAGATAAATTATCTACAACTTTGCTAGTCACTGGTTATGAAACAAACAAAGTAAAATATTTTGTGTCTTTAATAGAAAAGAGTAAAAGTGAATTACTCTATTTAATACTAATAGAACAAACTTGTAAGCAAGGGGAGACAGTCGCGTCCTTTGATTGGGTAATAAAGTTAATTTGTGGGACAAGTGACTTAAAGACTTTAAAGTACCCGTTGATGCAACTTACATTCACCACTTTTCTAAATGGTTTTAAACAGAAAGAGAGGTTCTTTGAAGTAGACAAAAGTATACTAGCAATGTTCATTGAAGTTTTGGAGAACATTGATCTGTCTGTATGAAATAAAAAATGTGGGCTGCAATAAACAAGTTTTATACATGATAGTTTTTATAATTATTTAAAGTTCCTAATGTAAGACTTATATACATTCTGGATATTTGGTATTGCTATTTTAACAATTGGGGAAACAAAATACTGTATTACTATGTAAATTATCTATGATGAACTTTATTAATTACTGAGGATTGCTTAAACTATGATTCATCAATTTAGCGGTGTAGTTAACACTTGCTTGTGCAGTGTAAGATGAAAACTGGTATGCCAAAACAGGATGATGACCTATTTTTCTACACAGAAATAAAAAGAAATGTATTGAGTGAGGGTGAAGGGGCGCCCATACTTTGTGTTTAAATTAAAACCAGCACTTAAATGTTTAATCCTGTATTCAATTAACATTGTTAAATAGCTCAATTCTTAAATAAATTCCTAAGATCTAAAAATTATTGTTGTTTACAATTTCTAAAAATGAATTTATCAATACAATAACTGTATCACATTGGGTCTATTTTGTTGCAAGTTCAAAACAATATTATTCAAGTTTAAGTCAAACATTACAATAAGTATCTACTTATAAATGTATTTTTATGAACCTTTAAGGCATCAAGCATAATAAAAATAAATTGGCTCAAATAATTAAATCCTGTAGTATTTTTAAACAAACTTAATATTATACATTTTCTTTTATAACATAGTAATGCCATCTAAAATTGGTAAATACTATTACATACATACAAAATGAATAGCTTAATACTATTTTTCAGGCACTTATTATATCTTGTAATTAGTTATGTTTACATGAGAAAGAAATCCTTTTTGAAAAATTATTTCAGTTATTTTTTAACTTTTACTTAATTAGTAAGCTATACTTTAATCAAAATTAAATAATCAATCTATAAATGATAGTAGTATATCTAACATTTCAAATTTTCTGCTTTTAAGTCATAATACATGCATAGGCCAAGGGATTTTGAGGTTTCTTGGTTTTAAAAATGAAAAATATTGTACCTTACTATATTTTAACAAAACAAAATTACATACTTATTTATATTGTAATATTGATCAAGAACAAAGTAACTCTTAAAATGTACAACGCAAACTCTACCTCTATTTTAACACAAACTAAAATTCTATGCAAACATACCATAACTTAAAGTAAAGAGTGATGATATTCAAATAGCAGTAAAAACTTTATATAAATTGCACCAGATAGGAAATACATATTTTAGACCTTAATCTATAAAGTAAAATGCAGTGTTGTATTAATTATTTTATATACAAAAGTCACCTCAGATTCGTTTGCAAACAATGAAAATCTAAAGTCGACTAAGGCAGTTTGTAGCAGCTCAGTACAATAATACAACTTGGTATGTTCTACCACTAAATTGACAATATTTAACTTCACTTTAGTGGTTAAACATTTATCAAATTTACTTGCAACCCTAAACAATTACAATCTTAAAAAATCCTAACCTTAATGTAAAAATGTTCACGTTGTAACTTAGTCGCTACCGATGAATTTGAGTTCCTTCTTTTTCAAAAAATACTATTTAAAGGAAAAGACCATTCTTATGTTTCCGTCACAACCAATGGTTTTTGTGGTGTGTTGTGGTTTCCGGGATATCCGATGTTCTTGCATAAAGATTCATACATGTTTAGCTGTAAATTCGTACCAAAGTAAACTACTCTTTAAGTTAAAAAGTGGACGTATGTGTAACAAGTACTTCTTTAATCTATAATAGCGTGGTTAAGTATTGAATATCCTTAAGTAGAAATTTCGAATTCAGTCTTATTTAGTTTTATTGCTTCATTCATTGCACATTAAGTACTTAATTTAAGTATAAAGCCCTTAAGAAAATTATTTTAATATGCCTTGTAATCTTTTACAACTCCAAGACCAATAATCCAAAACGTATGTCAATTACAGCGGTATACCAAAATATTAGGAACAACTGGCGGTCACACACATTTTAGTAGTTCACTAGGAACAAGGCAAATATAGGGGACGTTCGTGCTAAGGGGTCGCGCTTGTAGAAAAGTATTTGAGTCTAGAGCTATATAGCTAACATTTAATAGTGTTATTCATAAACTCTTAATGAAACTTTGATTTACGCTTTGGAACACGGGCCTTATTGTATGATGTATGTTGGACGAATTCGAAATTATTAATATTGTTTAAATTTCTAAATATGCAAAGTATAACTTATGAATACACATGTCCGCTGTGAAGATAAATAAGTATAAAGATCTAAAATTAATGAAATGAAATGGGCTATATGAGATTTACAATTGTTTCTTGTAATATACGTAAATTGAACACATGTTAAATTACGACATACCTTTATTAAAAAAGTTAAGAACCGCGACTATGAGAAAAATTGGTCTGAAATCTGAAAAATTCTGATTATACACATATAGTGTAGTAAAGACTTTTAAAAGATTTTTTGTTCAATATTGTAAAATAAGCTTTTAATATTAGGCATAAGATAGTGTTAAAACAATTTCTGAAAAATGTTGGAAATACTTGTTTACCTATAAAAATCAGGACGAAACCACCAAATCACTATTTGTGATTCAAGTAATATCGATTAAGGCTAACTTACGGCAAATGTGGCCTTAACATATTTTAAAAACAATTAATTTACATGTTTAGAGGGATTTTGACAGTATTCAAAGTATATACTCTTTACATATTTTGGTTATCCCATGTAAAACAATCCAATATAAGGTAAATCGTTTAAGCGTTATGTCATACAAAAGAGGCTAGTTGACGAGTCCAGCATCTTTTGCCATGCTGTAGAAGATGGAATTCTTGTCCTGAAGAAGCTGTTCGGGAGGAGCATACTCCACCAGCTGGCCTTTATCCAAGACCATTACACGGGTCGAGTCCATTATTGTGTTAAGACGATGCGCAATCGTTAGTACTGTACATGACGCGAACTCTGTACGAATTGTTTTCTGAAAAAAAAATAACAGTTTATCAGATCTTGGGCATTACCTTTGAAAAAGAATAAATATTTTAGCAAGTTAAAGCACTTTATATTGACAATAATCAGTTTTCTTAAAAACACAATTGACTTATTGTGAACTAAAAATATGTTTGTTGCCATCCGTTATAACTTCTTTGACGTAGAAACATTGTAACCATGGTAACAAACACGGCACTATCTCTCAGTAGACGTTTTTAAATAGAATTAGTCAGATCTTAATAGAAAGAGAAAAACAAGCACTTTAGTTTGATTAAAGTTTCAAATCGTCTATTCCACATTCCCTATTTGTGTACGTTATAACTTACACTTTTTTGTTCTTCGTGACAATCGATTCAAAGACGGGGTAGGCCGATAGTACATACCTGAATAAGATCGTCAGTTTCGAGGTCCACAGCGGCAGTGGCTTCGTCCAATACGAGCAATGGTGTCTTACGAAGAAGAGCTCTGGCCAAACAAACCAGTTGCCGTTGACCCACAGACAGGTTACCGCCGCCCTCTGACACTTCGTGGAGCAGGCCCGATGGGAGACCTATATATAAAAGACAATATAATTAAACAGTTTTTATTAAAGTAACTTTTTTTGAAAGACTTATGTATATAATTAGCTAAAGGCTACCCACCACTTCATCAATCAATAACATTTATGAATCTGTCCCTGCGTCATTTTTGGGGTCATTAATATGCTACATTGAACTTTCATTAATCATTAAATTCTATCCCAATTTATGAGATTAGATAAAGATGTGTCAGAAACAGATACATAAACTAGTATATTATTTAAATTTAAAATGGGAAATTTATTTATGTTTTTATGTGTCAATTATATATATAGATGATAGCTTACTTATAGATTTTTTGTATTAATCAATGTTACATTTTAAACCAGTCCAGGAGTTTTTGAGCTTATTCGTTATAAATATTTTTTTATATTACTATAGAAAATATGACACCGTTAAGTTTAAAAAAACATACCTTGTACAAAAGCCTTGAGATGGGCATGCTCGAGTGACCTCCATATTTGATCATCTGTGAACGTCTCAAAGGGGTCCAGATTCATCCTCAAAGTGCCAGAGAATAAAACGGGATCTTGAGGGATGATAGTGATGCGTGAGCGCAACTGGTGTAAGCCAATAGACGATATGTCGATGCCGTCGATCATTATTTTACCGCTGCTTGGTTCTACGATGCTGTAAAAAAATTAATCATTGCTTAAAAAGCGGCAATGTGGCACATGCTTTATAGAATTTGCTCTCTGTTTATAAGAATAAAACACTACCTACACAAGTTTCAATAAGACTTTCATAACCTGTATTTATGTCAGAGATAATGTAATAAGAACACGATGTCATTTGTTTTTTTAGAATGGCAACATCACGCAAAATCATAGATAGGTTGTAAGTTATCAATGTATCATAGTGAATTTGTCGGTAGTGCGTTGGAAACATCGTTGTGTTCTCTCTGATCGCCGGACGTGCGCACTGCCTTATTTTAAAATAAAATCCAAATGTGGGAAGACGACACTGATAACTATCTGGCTATTATTAATCACTTCAGATCTGCGACGTATATATTTTCCTAGTGTAGGCAGTTTTGGTTTAAATCTTGGCTAGACTTTTTGGCTAAGAATCACAGTAGCGATTGTAAGACGGTTTAAGAATATAAATAAGGGTCGAGTTTACACAATCCTATACAGTTATGGACAAATAGAATACTCTCTTAAATTATGTCGATACTATTCAACCAATGACGCCTAGAAAAATGTGCTAAAAGCGTGTATTAGCACATAAAAAATTGCAAAGTTATAGACCATTAAAGATGAAAAAAAAATGGAATTTAGTTTTTGCCAATATTTAATAAACTATTAATATTTAAGAAATTTCAAATAAAGATTCTGAAAAGGAGGAAATTTCAATAAAAACTCTCAGCTCCCAACTCTATCTCCATTATTTATAACTTTAATTTAACGCTGAAAATAGGTCTGTGCTACATTTTTAGGATTCGCGCGTGGCTCAAAAGCGACTACGCACATTAATTAATTTATTTAAGGTATTGAATATTTTTTTTAAATTTGAAAAAATTATGGTGTGTTCTGAAACTATAATTAATTTATTCCCGTTGGAAATTTTACTTAAGTTAATTTTTCAACAAGTTAAATAATTTTAACTAACGAAATTTTCTCGAACGACCGTCTTAATTTAAGTGAAAAAAAATGTTTTAATAATGGTCGTAAAAATATTTCGCTTCTAGACCTTTCTTACATACATACTTAACAAGATCGTGCCATAAAAGTTAAAGAAATATTTATACTTTGTTTATAACAATTTTTACTTAAACAAAAACTTAAAAATCCAAGTAATGTTGTTAAAAAATTTTTTTTTTTCTAAATCATCAAATTATCGTTTTTATATTAATACAAGATATTTATTGATTTGCAAAAAAAAATTTCCCTCATTTGTTAATAATTTTTTTAAACAAATTGATTAATCAATTGTTTTAAAAAAAAAAATTCTAACTTTATTACATTACAAATATTATGATTTTTAAAAAAAAATTTCCTTATAACATATTTTAATTGTTTATAATCGTTTTTTATATTTCTTTTGTTTAAATAATTAGTTAAGAAATTTTTTTTTTTTTAAAAATCATAATTCACAATCCTCTATAAATAACAGAAAAAAATTTTTTTAATCAACAATTCTATTGTTTATTAACTTACCAATTTGTTATAAACAAATGTTCAACTTTTTTATATTTTTTTCTAAAACTTCTAAAATTAACAAAAACAAACATATATAACAAAGTCTATAAAAAAAAAAAAAAAAAATTTTTTTAATAAAAGTAATTTCAGATAATCAAAAATTTAAAAAAATGTTTTTCTTATTTTGTTATATATGGTTGTTTTTGTTAATTTTAGAAGTTTTAGAAAAAAATATAAAAAGTTGAACATTTGTTTATAACAAATTGGTAAGTTAATAAACAATAGAATTGTTGATTAAAAAAATTTTTTCTGTTACTTTATAGAGGATTGTGAATTATGATTTTAAAAAAAAAAAAAAAATTTCTTAACTAATTATTTAAACAAAAGAAATATAAAAAAAGATTATAAACAATTAAAATATGTTATTAAGGAAATTTTTTTTTTTTAAACAATCATAATATTTGTAATGTAATAAAGTTAGAATTTTTTTTTTTTTAAAACAATTGATTTAATCAATTTGTTTAAAAAAAATTATTAACAATGGGGAAATTTTTTTGCAAATCAATAAATATCTTGTATTAATATAAAAACGATAATTTGATGATTTAGAAAAAAAAAATTTTTTAACAACATTACTTGGATTTTTAAGTTTTTGTTTAAGTAAAAAAATTGTTATAAACAAAGTATAAATATTTCTTTAACTTTTATGGCACGATCTTGTTAAGTATGTATGTAAGAAAGGCTCTACGAAGCGAAATATTTTTACGACCATTATTAAAACATTTTTTTTTCACTTACAATTAAGACGGTCGTTCGAGAAAATTTCGTTAGTTAACAATTATTTAACTTGTTGAAAAATTAACTTTAAGTAAAATTTCCAACGGGAATAAATTAATTATAGTGTTCAGAACACACCATAATTTTTTCAAATTTAAAAAAAAATATTCAATACCTTAAATAAATTAATTAATGTGCCGTAGTCGCTTTTGACGCCACGCGCGAATCCTAAAAATGTCACGCACAGACCTATTTTCAGCGTTAAATTAAAGTTATAAATAATGGAGATAGAGTTCCGGGAGCTGAGAGTTTTTTATTGGAAATTTCCTCCTCTTTCAGAATCTTTTATTTGAAATTTCTTAAATATTAATAGTTTATTAAATATTGGCAAAAACTAAATTCCATTTTTTTTTCATCTTTAATGGTCTATAACTTTTGCAATTTTTTATGTGCTAATACACGCTTTTAGCACATTTTTCTAGGCGTCATTCCGGTTCGAAATGAGCTATCGCACATAATTTTAAGAGCAGTATCTCTATTTTGTTCCATTTTCAACTTGTCGACTAGACTACTATACAGAAATCCTTGTCACGCTGGGTAATTCTGGCTTCTACTGTTTTTGGTATGGTTTTCAAGAAAACCTTTACCAGGCCATAAAGTCTCAAAAAAAGAGAATACTTTTTTGAAGTTGTACTTCTAGGCGCGTTATGAAAAATTGATGAGAGTGAAATTTTACGATTGCGCGCCACCTATGACACAAAATCAACTCGCACGAGATGGGAATAAAACACAAGTAAAAAAATAAATATGCGTGAAGTTAGCTTAGAGCTTAACAAAAATTTTGAATGACCATACAATTACATCTGACAATGACATTTACCTTTTAAACAAATATAGGAGTTTTAATTATTGTTTAAAATTAATAATTATATACCTAGTTATTTTCATTATACAAAATATTTGTGAAATAATATAAAATATTTGTGAAAAACTTCTAACCTTCCTGAGTGCTTCAATACATTGAGGTAATTCGTAGTATATCGAGTATTTTGTTGATTAAAACTGAAACATGAACCATTATTCATTGCTTGTGTTTTTGCGTTTGTTACACAACTTTTTAGAAATATTCTGACCCTTATATCAATAATTGAGAACAAAGATTTAACACGATACTTAAGGAGAAATAAGGCTTGCGTTACAGAGATAATTTTATAATCTCTCAAATTACCCATTATTTAATCAAAATATTTAATCACAAATATAAGGACAAAACAAAAAAAATTGATGAATCATGGAAGTCACTAAATTGAATACAAAAAAGAGTTGTCTCTTATCGCCTGAAACATCAAAAACTGGAGGTGGAACAACCACCATCACCTTCTCGAGACACAATGGTTTGAAGTAGATTTCAATGAATTTGATTGTGATGGTGTCGAGGTAGGAATGTTAATTATAAATATGATGTATGGTGATGTTCAAGGTTCAACCTTTCAAGCATAGGCATATGCTTACAAATTACTTTATTCCCCTACAGGATAGTTAGAGATATTGTAATACCTCAAAACTCCATGTTGCACTTGTAGTACCAAACTCTGTCCTCCAGAAGTGAGCCCATTCCCACTTATAATGAATGTTATCACCTAATACCTGATCAACCACTCACCATGATACTTAAATTAATAGATGTTATTTATATATTTCAGGTTATTACAAATAAAATCATTTTGGAAACAATTATATCCCAAAACAAATAAACCAACAATGACAAGGTATAAATCAGTTTTGACATAACTGAATACTAAAAAGCCAAACAAAGGTTCCAACAGTGACAAATAACTTAACAATTTCATTATTTTGTAGGATTAAAGAAAGGTTAAAGAAAATCATTCAACTGAACAACAAAATCCCCAAACAACTCCAAAGAAACCTACAAGGAAGACACCGGTATTATATTTAAATTATCTCTATCTCTAAATAGAATAAAAGAAAGTTGCTATCCAGGTCTGTAGCATGTGCTACAAATTATATTATTAACACATTTATATAATTATATTAATATAAATGTGTTAAAAATTTATAATATGAATTATAAAAAATTTTAAGTTTTGCATGGACAGAGCTTAAATTAATATTCTCTTATTTGTTGCAGAAAGCAAGTAGTTTTGGAGAAGCCTCGTAGATGCACAACCAAGTAATGATTAATTTAAAATTACAAACCGAAATTCTGATGAAGACATTAGAGTCACTTAAAAATAAATAGTATAATGAAATAAAAAATGTTTTAAAGATAAATAGTGTTTTTATTTGTTTAATGTAAGAGAATAATAATAAATATTTATTTAATTAATTTTTCAAATGTAAACTGAACTTTATTGACTTTAATGACTCCTTTTCCAGTCTTTGATTATTTAATTGTAATTAATTATTTGCATGCAATCAAAAAACTATTTTTAATAATGCCAAAGAAGTATAACTTCTTACGCGCGTACATAAGTACACGCACCCTTTTTTTTTTTACTGTGTAGCCAGTATAAAGTTCATATTATTATTTTTTGAATCGGCACGAAAAATTTATTTGAATTATTAATACAGTGTTAACTATATATAACGACACTCAAGGGACTGTGCCTATTTTAACGTTACAAAGAGTTGCTGTTAAGTGGAAACAAAAATCTGTATTAGAAAAAGACGGTTTATTTCAGACTAGTGTTAGTAATTACATAAAAACAATTCGTATTTGAACGCTATTGCGTTGTCTGTTATTTTTACCAGTAGTTAGGTTGTATTTTTTTACTTTTTTAATTCATATCTTGCGACAATAAGGCATCTTCAAAAAGCACATGCAAGCATGCGCAATTTGTAAAAAAAATACGGATTTCTTGGAAAGTTCAGTACGTAAGACGAGTACCGACAGTCGAGTTTATTTCTTGCTATGACAGTTTTAACTAATTCCGGCGACTTAAAAAGTATTTAATTGTTGTCGTTATTGAGATGGGTCTAATGCTATGTAGAGTGTATCATTGTATGGAAGACAAGCTAAACTAACCTTTTTCGACGCTTTAGGGAGTGTGTCTAGATGACCGATGTTATATGGAGTTTATTCTGTATTTATAATTAAGACATTTATATTGTATATTCGCATTCTGTCTTGACGTCCGGTGATCAAATTAAGCCGCAAGTTCAATCCGAAAAGTGCTCAAGTAAGTTCCTGCTTATAAACTTACCGGAATAGGCCTAACGTAAGCGTAGATTTGCCCGCCCCGGTTCGTCCGACTATACCCAATTTCTCCCGGGGTGCCACAGTGCACGTCAAATCCCGTAGGACGGGTTCTCCAGGACGGTAGCAGATTGTTAGTCCGTCTAATTGCAAGGCACCTGTTTCAGGCCATGTAGAACCTGGGCCATTTGGAAGGTTCCAGGCTGCTTCCTGTAAAATGGGTGTCATGCTTATTTTCGAGCTTCAAGTTTAGGGATTTGGGGATATATCTATATAAGTCTGTTTCATTAGTCATTCACAAACAGTTTTATATTGCGACACAGCTGATCCTAAACATCTGCCATTTTTATATCCCTCTCAAAGATGAATTTCCCATTGATAAATTTTTATTTTAAAATTTACGAAATTATCGTATTAAATGTTGCCTCACCGAAGGAGTGTCCGAGTACTCCTTTATCCTTTCAACAGCTACAATATTGGTTTCAACTTCCGATGTCATTCTAACAAGCCAGTTCAGGATTTGAGTTATCTGAAATGAAATATTTATATATTCTATGAAATTCGATAATATACGTGTGTACAAAATGTGAAATCATTTAAATTATAATATTCTTGAAGGTAAGGTAATTTCATTGGACAGTGGGACCATTCATGGGCAATTTGTTAAAAATAAGGTCGTTAAATATCTAAATAATGGATCCCCGGTATATGAAATATTTATACCTAACATCTGATAAATATTTTAATTCACACTTGTTGCCCCCGGGATTTTCGTTTCGCCTTGTTTTATTTAATTAGCTACCTTTTTAGTAGCTACCAACGAACATATAGAAGATTTTAGTTTACCTTAGTACTAGATAAATGACTTTTTTAAATATATTTAAATTTTTTCTCTCCATAAAAACCTTAGAGTTAAGGAATAAAAATAATAATACTCGAATTGATGCAGCAGTCTTCGAGTTGTGAGTCATTTTTATTTATATAGATTACCTGTAGCGCATAGGTGACAGATAGCCCCACAATGCCAGGGTCGATAGTATCGCGGCCGAGTACGACAGACAATGCAGCGAAGAAAATAATGACATTGCCAATCATTTCCAGGCGGATTGCCAACCATCTGTTTGCGATGCAGCTCGGGTAATAACATGCTTGGTTGTGGTCCACACCGCGCTCTGACTCTTCGACGAACCTACGCAGTTATATTAATATATACCTAATTGATTGCCATGGTTAAGTGATAAAGGAGCAGTGTTGCGGATGACTTGAGCGAGCGTCTCTCAATCCTGACTGAATGTACGAACAGTTCAATCTCGGCAAATCAATGGAATTTTTATGTGCGCATTTAACACTCATACGATGAAGGACTTAGAATAGCGCTACAGTTTATTTAAAGTTATAAGCTGTTTCGTTTATACCAAGATAGTACGTAAATTGGTGCAATTAAATAAATGTTGTCTTTGTTTAATTTTTGTATTAAGTATATTGTTGCATTATTAACGGACGACATCCAACCGACAAGAAGAAAAATTCTTCATATCGTTGTATTGTCTTATCAACTTGCTATAGATTCTAACACAGACAGATGTTCATTTGTTTACATATATTTAAATGACAATGATATGAACATACCTCTCAGTAACACCGTAGGCTCGTATCGTAGTAGCTCCAGTGATACTTTCACTAAAGTGTGAATAAATCGGGGAACGAGAAACGGATTCAAGCCGCTTCAGCTGCCTGGATGTGGCCACGTAGAAACGCTGAATGATGTAGTATAGTACCCCGATGGGCAATATCACAAACACGAATACAGGCGTCGATACACTTATGACGAACAACGTGCCGAGAACCTAGATCATAGAATATAATTAGCAATTTATTAGCACAGTGATTTTTAAAACAAGTCTTTAAAATTATTAAAAGCAATACTGATGACCCACGTGAGATAAACAAAACGTTTAACGTAAAAATGGATATTGTTAAACCCATTATGGTAATAAACTGATTGACTGAATATCCTCCGATATGTTACCCATGTCCGGAGATCACTCAGATTACTGAAGTGCATGATTGGGATCAGCATTTAGTGAAACATAAAATAACACATAAAACACTGAAATTAGAACAGAAATGCGCAAAGGCAAGCGGGTACAAGTACAGTTAATGAAAAATTGGTAGTCTATTACGTATACAATCCCCTAATGTGTCGACGAGCTTTGATAAAAATCCCAAAGTATTACAAACGACAATAACGAATGCCTTGATCCAATTTAAGTTTTACCTGTCCTGCACAATACCACCAGTCGGAGAGTTGCATTGGCAGCGTTGTGTCGACAACATCTACATCTTTACCGAATCTAGACAGTATTCTACCGATGGGCGTTTTTTCGAAAGTTTGTAAAGGCGCTTTTAACACATTCTTTATTAAACCCTCGTGCAAGATCTTCGCTGCTCTCCAACAACCCAGTAACAGCATTATTACGGCGACAACTGATGCGATAGCTGGAAAATCAGCCAATTTATACAAATCTGTCGAATATAATTTTGATGCCCCGTATATAATGAATACATTTTTACAATCCAATTGAACATTTCACTTGTTTCGTATCGTGAGAGATGTCACTACCGTACTGGAAGAATGATGGCTCTAGACTACGGTGTAAGTGTTGGATGAATGCGATGTTTGTAACAATAACATGCAGTTATTAAAATTAGAATTGCATTAAAAAGCAATAGATAAGAGCGTAAGACTTAAGATACTTTATTTCAACAACACATTTTTATTTATTTCACACTGCAATCACTATTACTAATAAGACGCTTCTACGTTTACAGAGCAAAGTACAAAAGAAACAAATAACAAAAAGGTGTCTGTCTGTCTTATATATACAATGCTATAGGAAATCAATAAGAGGCAATTATAGAAAAACGATCAAGGATATAAAATAAAGATTTTAATTCAACGGATGGCAGATAGCATACACTTACGCCCGAACCCAATAATTACTCCACAATCTCAGATTGTTTTCAATCACACCGTTTGCGGATAAAATGCTCTTTGTCGTTCCATTTTACCGAGTTTTCACTCATATTTGATAATCAATGTAAACCAAATAAAGTTAATAAAACCGTACAAATAACATTAAACTATACAGGTGTATGTTTCAAACATAACAAACAGTTTTTTTAATTATTTAAAAAGCTGGTGTAAGTTAAAATCTGTTAAAATAATTAACTGTGGAAATTGAGCTTTCGTCAACTGTCATTTTCATACAAAGGTCTATCTATCCACAGACACCGATACGACCTCCCATGGATAGCTTGTATCGACAGATGGCTATTACAATCCGTCGATTGGTTATTGGCACACGTGTTATATCATTTGGATTTAGATTACTATCTCAGATGGTGGATTATGGATTGAGATAGGTTATTGGGTTCGGGCTAAATCTGCATCTTAATTAAAAACAGACAAACACTGAAGTTGAAATCGTTTTAGTTTAGTTTAGACTAGACAAAACGTCTATATATAAACTGATCCCAAAATCTGCGGGCTCTGAAAGAAATTACAAATTAATTCTAACGCTAATATTTACATCATGCACTAAAATATAAGGCGTCTCGCCGTCGTACCGAGAAGAAGCAGGCTGTCCATCCCCGTAGCGTCATGGGCAGGACGTTGTCTAGTACTTCGACGTCCTTGCTGAATCTGTTGAGGATTCTTCCAGTGGGGGTGCAGTCGAAGAAGCCAATAGATGGCGCTCGAAGAACGCCCGATAGGAGCTTAGAGTGCAGCGTACGCGCCGCAACCAGCGCACCCAGATACAACGCCAGCGACGACACCGATACGGTGATCACTGACACAACAATTCAATACTGGTCTCGATTCCGTTAATGCCGAATTTATTCGCACGAGCCGTATCACATTCATTCACGACTTAAATACCGACGCAAGGAATATCATCTACCTCTGACTCAAATGTCTTTGAATACACAATGATATACGAATATATGAATTGAATATGAATTGTGAGTATTATTAGAAACCATGGACTGACACAACTTGATTTCATAAGTAAATAATAATAAAATTAAAGTAAACCCATCGAAAGAACAAAACTGTCTGATTTCCATATGCATCTTGAACTTGAATGAGATACGTTTCGATAAGGTCGGACAAACTGGGCACCTTTAAAAAGATTTTATATATACGTAACATTTTTTTACATTAGATACACACAGATTACATTAGATATAATTAATTATCTTTTGTCACAATATAATCTTATATTGTACTAAACTAAAAAGTAGATAATGCTTCTTAATTTTTTTGTTGGAAATCATAAATAATTTGATATAGCATGCAATGTAAAGCAACTGCTTATACAGCTTAATAAGAACTTTTATATTGCTACAAGTTTACCCAATATAGAAATATAAGAAATTTCAAAGTGTTAGTGTAAATTTGATTGCTTAAATACACACACGAAGACAGTAAGTAGAGTCCAATTGTGTTAAAAGCATGCATTAAATCCCGCTTCTTACCGCATATGAATTGATTAAAACAATTAAAAGTGAATTATTAGATACCGTCCCTATAAAGGTGTAAATAATGTATTCATTATGTACAGGTCACCTCACCCAAAAATTCCAACACATTTTTATTATTATAGAAAGTAATTGTGCCGTTAAAAGATAAACCAATAGAAATAGCATGTACTTGCTACGTTATCCTCTTTTTAGAAATTGGTTAAATATTTAAAGTTTATTATTTTGCATCCAGTCCAGAGATAATTCTTCTTCTATAAAATGTGATTTTTGGTATATCTATTGGCTTCAATCTTTTTGAATAAATATTATATTATATACAATATGTTGCCCACGAATCCTTTACAAAATATTAAATCTTTATTTTTTTTAATGTAGAAGTGGTACTTACCCTGGCCAATGCCAAGACCTCCGTATACACCAAGAAACAAGTCACGCCTCGCTTTGTTCACTGTACCATTCACCAACTGTAAAAAATATTCAGAACATAATATTCGCGAATAACAAACATTCGATAGAGTAACTAACAAAAATATAAACTTATTGGAAACAATAACAAAGGGCACACTAGGCGCAGGAGTAGAAAGTCCCTATGAAAAAAAATTACATAAAGCAGCCGCAAAATTTTGTCCGTTTTATCATGTTTTAGCACATATTAATCGACTTTTTAAGTCAACAAAACGCAATTAGACACCGCCCCGCGAGTATAGGATGCTGGAAAGAGCTTGATGTATGTCAATATCACATTGGATTTAAAAACTTTAGTTTTTTCAGGATTTTTGAATTTTTTCATGATTTTTGCACAGAAGTGCAAACAAGAGCTTTTATATAAAAATAGCTGAGAGAGATCCTTGTCTTTTCTACGCCCCTGATTTAAGCACTTATTTGTCAATTTATGATCATACAATATTTATTATGGAAAAATAATAATACCATTTCATTATCGTTAGACCATTTTGCGAGCCAGTAATTTGAGCCGACTTGGAACATTTGTAGAATCATATTCATGATGAATGTTACCAATGACGCCATCACACCAACGCTGGTTAAGTATTGCTTGTAAACTGCCCATTTTACCTGAAAATACAACATTTTCACTTCAAGGATTTCATTATAAAATTTGTACAGTTCCTGGGTGAGGTGATTTAACTAATAAATTTATTACAATATTTGTTATGGAAAATAGTCTAATAGACCAATTCAATTAAGAAAAGAGCGTTCCAATTCTTGAAAGGCCGGCAACGCACTTGCGAGCTTTCTGGAAGTGTGAGTGTCCATGGGCGGCAGTATCACTTAACATCAGTTGAGCCTCCTATTACATTAAAAAAAGTCCTAAAAATAATTACTTTTACGACTTTTAGGCACTAATATACAACGACAAATATTTAAGCCTTGACTTGTTGAAGCTATCGCAGAATATGCTTAAAAGGAGTATTAAGAATATCACACGTACATACACCATCAGATAGCACAGCCGAAGTAAGTATTTAATATTTTTTTCTTTTCGTAATATTTGAACCTTATGTATATTATGTATTCCATCTTTGGCTATATGTTTAGTATAATTGTGTTTTCCTGTATATAAAAATATAATAGGAAGATTATTGAATCACTCTATTAATGAACACCGAATAATAACTGTAGGTTCTTTAAAATATATAAGTGTACATCTATGATACTTAATTCAGGAAAGCCTAAGTTTGATTACGATCGAAGTGATCCTTATCTTTGAAAAAAGGATAAAAGACAAATTGATAATGGTAAAGCTACATAAAAGAGGTACTCACACTTCCAGTTTCTGCCTTTTCAGCCTCAATTAGTTTGTTCTTCTCCTTTCGTTCCTCAGAATTGTCTTCCGGAGTTCGCCGTTTAACACTTTCACGTCGGTCACCTGTCGATTTATGAATATTAATTTAAAAAATATACAACCACCAGCTCACCCTGTCTGTTTATTTGCGCATTTAACACTAGCTCGTACAGTGAAGGAAAACATATAAATAAATTACCTCCGGCAGGTACTTCAGTTTCTGAGGCACTCTCAGATAGCGATCGAGCTCTTTGTAATTTGTTCTGGAACTCTGAACCTAATTTGCTTTCCAAGTCTTGTTTTATTTCATCCAATTCTGAAAAAAATATTAAATTGATAAATACGCGAATATTCTGTGCTCCGCGGTATCATCCACCTTGAATTCATCATAAATTCTACTCAGTACCAACTTATTCTATTGCGGAGTTATCATAAATCTATGATATCGTTGATTTGAAATGATGTCAAGGGCTATTTAAGGTTAAATATTTGAATGAAGTATATATATATATTTGGATATAGATTAATTTCATCTTTACAATAGCAAATAATGAATTTAAATAATATACAATTTTTTTTGTCGCGGATATTTATATTTTTTTTATATCATAAATTTACTCGACACTTCGCTCCGCTTTAAGACCGAAATTTAAAAGTTGGGAATCACTAACCTTCCGGAGATGTCCTTTCAGCGTCGCTCAAGTGATTAAGAAGGAACTCGGCAAACGCCCCCTTCTTTTCCAGCAGCTGTTGGTATGTGCCTACTTCTGAGACCTCGCCGTCCCGTAACACTACCACAAGGTCAGTTTGGGCCAAGTACGACACTTGATGAGTGACCCATACACGGGTCTTGTTTTGTAGCAACCCATTTGGTCCTATAACCTGTTATTGATGATTCATACTTAATATTTAGTTGACCTTTAATCTTAATACTATATTTAGTTTAGCAGTTCAAGGCTAAGCAAGATATCATTATATTGTAAGGTTCCCAAATCAAGGGGAATTTTTCTCGAGAGTATTCTACTCTCGAAACTTTATTGTATAATATAAATCACTTACGAACAACAGATCAATTCTAATAATAGGCAAAAAAAGGTTTTTGGAGTAAAATAACTGGTATATAAAAATAAAAATATTGATCACGATGACGTATCATGCTTCATGCATATGTCTTCGCCTGGCTAGTAAGTGTATTTGTGGAGTTAATACGTCTGCGTATTCTTATCATAAGTAAGACGTAAAAATTTGATGTTTGTTTATATTATGTTTATAAGTATGGCGGGGTCTTAACATTATGAACGTTTTATGATAAGCCTATACTTAAGAGAAAAATAATATAGGTTTTATAGTCACAAATAAATATTCTGTAATGGTTATTAAAATCTAGTAAAATTGCCTATTGCTAATATAGTGAGTTACTGTAATAAATGCTCAACGATTTCGATACTCTGCGACCGGTATCATCAGTTAATTATTATATCTAAAATGTACAGAATATATTTCAAAGTTCGATTTTATGTTTGCCTAAATTGTTGTGATAAACAAAAGATGTCTGTAAAATTTATGTAGATTATTTTTTGGCGGCATTAGTGAAGTCTTAATCTTTATTTACCCCTCGCTCCCCGTGGGTGACTCCTATTGCGGTACAAGAACAGTCACTTAAATTACTATCAGTCTCGATTGCAGACAATTTTAGAAATGTAATTCGAGGCGGCTTAGCCTCTTTATCAAAGAACTTCTATCTTATCATGAGACTAATTAATTATGTACTTCTGTAGCTTATTAAACTTTATCATTGATAAGATTACTTCCCGAATTGACAATTGCTTATTAAAATCCTTGACGTCGATACCCTTTTTATCACATAAAGTAAATAAAGGCTGTGTTGGTGGGATGGAGTTGTCAAAGACCTCGAAATAATAGATGAAATTTGAGCACGAGATAGATTGAAATGATGAAAGATACTTGGCCCATAAGGGGCTGTATATACATTGATGATGAAGAAGTAAATTACAAGAAGGGATAATTAAATCTTATACATAATAAATTAAATATAACCTTGGTACATCAGACTATGCCACATCTAGTTAAAAAAAAATTGAACATCTATGTTTTGCTTGTAGGCCGGGAGATAATGACACAAAATAGTGGGTCATTTGTACCAGTATGGCGTTTCTTCTTATTACGCAATAAAAAAAAGAAAAACGTTAGTCAGAGCGCTGGTACTGGCGGCCTAATCGCGTGGGTGTTAGTCGGACTCGTCGGATTAATTACGAAGTCAAATGATTAGTTCCACAAAAATTCTAGTATTTTCCGATAGTCCATAGAAAAATAAGAGGCGGCAGTGTCATACTTCTCCGGTGAGACTTACAGACCGACGCGAATGCGTTAATTAAAACAAAATCAACCATTTGTACCAGGCTAATTTTGGCTCAGTTTATCATAGTCGTGCCTTGTGCAGCCATTTACGAAAATCACCATGCCATACTTTTCGGACGGTTCCAAATGGCCGCCATACCGCCGAAAATCAGCATTTTTTTTTACCAAACGATTTGTACCAGCCTAAAAATTTTTTTCGACGGTCCCTGTATGATCATAAATAGAAGTCTGATTATGCCATACCTGTGGGAGGTGGGAAAAAAAATTGGTTGTCTGATCGAGTTTATTATCTGTCTACGCACATTTTTGTTGCTGTTTTGTTTTGTTATTTTATATACGTAAATCTGTGCGCTCTAATTATTAATCTTAGTCACAACAACATATTGTTTCTCAGTAAGTGAATTATGTATGCAATTCTTATGAGAAATAAAGTTATTCTTTAACCTTAAATTTAGATTATTCTTTAGACGGTACATTATACTACTATAGAATCGTAATATATTTAAGACAATATCACTTTTCGACAGTCGTGGCTCATTAACACTGAAAGAATTTGTATGGGAATTACATTTGCTCACGCTTCATCACGTGACATTTTCATACAAATTCGTTTGGCGTTAGTAGGTCACGCCTATCCAAAAGTTTTTTCGTCTCAAGCCCCAGACCAATTAATAGCATTAATTAATTATTTTATTAGGTACCTTGTCAAAGATATGTTTCCCAACGTGAGAGTCGACGGCGCTAAGCGGGTCATCCAAGAAGTAATTGTCGGCGTCACAGTACACGGCGCGAGCTAATGACACCCGCTGTTTTTGCCCACCGGACAAATTGATACCTATTTAAAAATATATTGCTCTTGTTAAAGCTTATTGACAAAGCTTGTTGGTACCTTTATCCAAATAGGGCACGAGGCATATACATAACAAAACGATCGTTTGTATCGCTGATCATTTTGACGTGAATTTGCTACCCTGCATTTTTGGATTGCCGCTGTAATCCAAAAATGATACAAAATCGGATACAGTTTGGGCGTTGTACTTTCGAATCTATCCTCTACATCCGAAATTAATTAATTTTACCACTGGATAGCTAAAGGATCAAAGAATTCATTATGATAAGCGAGAAGAGCGAAGCGAGAAGAGCGAAGCGACGCATCGCGCGGGGTGGAGGGGGAAGGTTATTTTGCTGCGTTTCAAGATTTGCAATTAGTATAACTTATGACTCGAAGAAGCAACATTGTTTGTTTAAGTTTTAATCTGTTACGTAAACGTATTCACGTACAACACACGCCGCAGTACACTGTAATTAGCCCATAATTGCACCTGTAATTGTCATCGGATAAATTGATGCCTATTTTAAAATATTGGTTTTTAATCGGGAAGACATCGCAATAGACACGCTTAACAGGGAAGTATCACTGCTCTTAAGCATTACTAGTAGATAGCTTGTAAGCGATAACGAGGTCTTAAATTAAAAGCTCTCCGATATGTGTGTAGGATTTCTCACTAAGCTAAATTAACGTAATTATAATTAATAACAACACTAATTCATATACTAAATAGTTTTTAGATGTGATGGTTTGCCAGAAATCCTACCCTGAACCTTCTCATAAACATTATAACTGGACACCAAAACGTATAACTGGTAACTATACCGATAAACAAAAAATAAAATTATTTAAATTTTTGTTAAGGTTTGGATTAATGTTTAATTCAATAACTGAATGTATAAAAATGTAAGTTAACGATGTTCTAAGACGCACGGGTTTTCTATAAATAGCATACAATTTAGATTTACAAACTTTATATAGAGAGAGAGATACCTTTTTCACCAATTTCTGTCTGATCACCGCCTGGAAGCATCTCGAAGTCTGGCTTGAGTGCACACATGTTGATGACATTATTGTATTTGCCCTTATCGAGTGAGTTGCCGAACAAAATGTTGTCTTGTAATGTTGCGTTCTGGATCCACGCTTGTTGTGGTACGTATGCGAATGAACCTAAAACATTTACTCACATTCATTATATTAAAATAAATACTCAATATTCTTCATAGACCACGGCTTGCCCGCGTCACAAAAGTATGAAATTAAATTTTTACATTCCGCTATTAATTACGAAAGTATCAATTAGAATTAAAATACACACATATTTTAAGTTTTATATTACAAGTGATTGTCAATAGTTTGTAATTTCTATGTATGTACATTGAACAGTAAATAATATTAAAAGGAAGCCGAGAAAGTCCACGACATTCATTGAGATTATCTTGGTAGATAATCTAATTTAATGCGTGAAAAGTAATCATGAAAGATCCCTCGGTTCGGAAACTTCTATACCACGATTCTTACCGAATGTATTAATTCTTCCTGATGTTTTATACATTTCACCAAGTAAAGCGGACAAAAGTGAACTCTTCCCGGAACCAACGGCGCCTACGACAGCAACTAAATGACCTTTGGGCACTTGTAGATTGATATTCTTTAGAATTGGTTCGGGCGTGTCTCCCCATGAGAAATTGCAGTTTTCCATTGATAATGGGTTAGCTGGAAAGAAAGTTAATCCTTACTGACAGATAATTAAGGTTCCAGACTTTGGTCGATCTTTATACTAAACCCAGCGACCATAGAAAAGATGTTGCTATGTTACCTTAGGGAAGGCACATAGAATAGGAAAGAAAATCTGTATTCTAAATTGAAAAAAAAAAATTAGACCCTAAGACCTAACCATTCCAGTAATCACTCTGCGTTACAACAAAGCAAAGCAACTCACAATTATATTGTAGTTGTGGTAATATTTAATTAACTGAAGTTATTAACCTGAGATAACACAAAAACACAATTACATTTATATACTATTCTCAAGTGTGTATTGTGAGATATAGGGCGAAACAATCACATTTATTTACATTAATAAGTGAGGGTGGATTACTGAGAAGCTTCCAACCAAAATACCAGTCGTAATTGCTACAAGACTATTAGGTAAATAGCGCTTTGGACAGCTAATCTTTTTTTCAATTGCATACTCTACTAAAAGGTCGGAAAGGTGAATTCGGTACATCGGATTGGTATAATGCACAGCAGATGCTGAATAAAAACTTCACAAATAAACAATGACTGGAATTACGCCGTTTAGGCACTTAATTGTTTATTTTATACATGGTATAAATTCCCTTGATTTTTTTATACAAAACTGGACAGACGGGCTGCAATCCCTCCCACCTCATGTTAAGTTACGGCCTATTGGAAGGCAGGCGATGCCTATTTAGCCACCGCTTGAATGAACACCAAAAAGACGTATAGATATTATATGTAAGTATAAAATATTTGCTTACTTGTGTAAGTATGTCTAGAGAAGCGCGACATGCTATCCATTATTTTTTTTGTTTCTTCTGTGCCTCCTGATAGCCCCAATAACAGAAATACAAAATCATTTGGAATCTATAAATGTTTTAAAATACTTACGATCCTTCGGGTCGTGTTCCACCGATTCTTCATCTAATTCTTCGGCATTCATGAATTTATTCAATCTTTTTATACCAACCGCGGTCTACAAAATGAAATTTGATTATATTTCCATAATATGTACATATAAGGGGCATGCAACCTGACACCAATGAGTAAAAAATATACATGTGCGTTGCAATGGTGTTACTATCAGCTCCCATTATGTATGTGTATATAACACAGACCTTATAAATTAACCAAATCAAATTCGCTCTAATCGTTAATACGAGTAGTTTATTTAATTTTCGTTTATTTGAGTACTAGTGATGCCGTTAGTCATTATTATTATCAACCATTAAATAGTAGTTCATTTATATATCTATATTGGCCAATCAAATAAACTTCTATTATTAACGGTTTAAACTGATTTAACTTTGACGTTGTTAATTTAAAGCTCTGTGACATATAATGACAATGACAGCCGACAGCAACGCCATTGCTCCGACATAAATAATTTAAAAAATGTCAAAATGGCGCTCGTTATCAAATTTTTGTCACTATTAACTTCTCATCACAAAAAAAAATAATATGAATATAGAACAAATTTATTGGATAACGAACGTCGATTGGTTAAGATATTAATATGATACGCTTTACGATGAATTTGCGCGTAAATAAATATAGGATAAATAACTTACTTGCACCACATTCGATATAACGTTAGGCAGCATGGATAGTGGAAAACGTAGTATGTTGAAAAGAGACAGAGCGACAAAAGCCGTCTTAGAATCCAGTACTTGAGTATCGTTAACCAGTACAAAACATCCGAATGACATCAGTGACACCTGAGGTACCGCACCAGTTAATATAATAGCTTATTTTATGTTAGGTACTGCTATAAAATTTTGAATAAAATTTAATAGCATACATATAAATATTCTTAAAATTAAATGACATAATTACTCCATCACAACCTCGCCCCATATGAATTTCGATTTATGGCTATAGCGAATAAATATACCTAAATGAGTGGAATACTTAGATATTTTTGACATGCATGCATAAGACCACACCTGGACAGCTCTAGACTGTCAGAACATCTAGATGTACCTCAATGGTTGTGACCACGACGATCGGAAGTAAGCCTAAAGGCAGGTGCATCGTGGCAAACAAAGCCATCGAAACAAACACCTTGACTGGTGTCAAAACATGATTTTCAGGATCGCTTATCACATAAGTGAAGAAAGTTAGAAACGTAACCTTGAAAAAATATTTTTAATTTTGAATCTATATTTTAAATGTAGACTAAGTTCTGTTTATTAATGTTACACACAAGCGTAGTGAATAGGTTAGAAAACACAAATGATACTATTCCTTAAGAATCCCGCTGTGAAATCGGGAATGTTTGAAATGTATAGAAAGTTTATATGCTTCGAAATCCTTAAAAAAATTGATACATGAAAGAAATTAATAGTTATCTTTTTTCTATATGAGATGTTCTATGATTAGCTTTTAGGGACCCTTAACGTAAATTACTAAACGAAAAATAAATGATTGTGATATAAAAATGTATATAAACCTGTTGTATATACGTTGGACAAACAATTCTATGGTAGAGTAGGCATTCAAGGGCAACAAGTCACATCGTGGAAATATGAAACGTGCCCCGCCTATGCTGCCCGCCATAAAAAGTAGGTTTGTTTGTTTCAGTTACTCAAACCAAAGCGATTTTTTTTTTTTTCCCAACATTTTCTAACGAGATCAGACTCTCTTAGTGATCTTTTAATCATGACAGTTTTTCAGTGTCTTTATAACTATGTAAGTTAACAATTCGATATGGTTCGCCGTGCAATCATGACATCCCAAAAAATTTGTTTTTTTTGAATCGTTCAATTTGGTATGACAACAGTAAAGATGTGGATGAAATATTATTCATCTTCACATTTGCTGATTTTACGTAAAAATCTAAATCACGAAAAAAGTTGTTTTTCTGGATTTAATACGGTTTACACTTTTTAAAATATTTTAAAAATTATACGTTGTCCGCAAATAGAGTCAAATAAGGGGTTGAAACAATTTTTTTATTTATTCCGGTTAACTAATTATATTTATGTTTTGATAAAGGGACCAACTGTTGTTCTAAAGTGCCAAACTGGTATGTACTTTATATATTGGGAATGCAAACAACTGATATGCAAATTATGATCATTGAATCTCTGAGACGTTTTCAACAGATGAACCAAAGTGTTATTTATATACATGTAATGAAGCAGTGTAGAGCACATTATAAAATTCTTTAGCTGTGTCCTCGAAAAATTTTTAACCCTTTGGAAAAAGGAAGCGGTTATGTCCACACGGATAAAAAATGTTTTAGAGACAAATAGGAGATTTGTTCAATCATCTTAGGTAGCTTGTGCACCAATGGGGCCCAAAAATTCATGTAAAAGGAGGGACCAAATGATGCAGCAGAGAAGAAAGCCAATAAATATATGTAGTCAGCAAAAAGAGTTGCATCAAACTGAAATGCAAGAAGGGAACCCATTAAAAATATTTATTAGTTTCATGAGATTTGTACGTCTTTGAATAAAAATGGTTTGAATTCAAGTTATAATTACGTTATTGTCAAGTCAAATGTTTATTTATAAATCTTGTAATAAAGTGAACGATGCTAACTCCAATCGAATACTGAAACATTATTATTATTTAGTATAAGTACACACTGTATGTACAATATTATATTTTTGAAAAATGCTGATATGATTAGTAATATCTAATTATATACTGCTGCGGTTCTGTAGCTAGTAAGAAGCAGAAGAGGTTTGTATGACAGCTGTACATACAATCTTGTTTTGTTTTTTTATTTAATAATTACAAGTTAATATTAGAGTGATTCAACCTTTAGTAATATACTTAATTATATACTGCTGCGGTTCTGTAGTGAGGAATGAAGTCATAGGCTTGGTATGAGGCAATGCGTCTATATATACTCTTGTTCATATTTCCTCTTTGTCGTTTCTGTGTTTTTTTTTTTTTTAATGGCTCTGGCACGATTTGCGAATAGCCAGCGTCAAGTATAGGATTTTTATAATTCGTTCTTTTAACCTAAGAAATACGACCATTTCCATGTTAGGCACTCTATTAGATTGGCCGAGAACTTAAATTAAATTTAAACTTCCCCCCCAACCCGGGATCCCCCCCCGCCCCCCCCCCCTGTCGTGCTGTCTTTCAGACAGCACTTAGATTTGAGGTCACTAGGCGTCAATCATATGGTGAGTTCATTAGATTAAGGTCACCGTCAATCATATGGTGAGTTCTTAAGAATTCTGACCATTTTGGTTGTACATTTTCAATTAGTGTGTTTCGTTACCAACAATGGCCGTATATAATTTAGAAAAGTGCTGCTCGTATTATAGTAGTAAAACTAACTAACGTTCATACACTGAAAAATATCATATATCTTTGATAACCATTATAGCGCTGTATTGATTACGTGATATCAACTAATCAATAGTTCCAAAGCTTACTTACACACAGATTTGGTGCAATCACATTTATGATTTTAAATAAGGTATTAATTGTATTACCTTACATTAAAATCATACTTAATTCTTTTATCATGACTGTTGTGTTATCAGGAAATATTGTGAAACTGTGTTTCCAGAAGAAGACTGATACGAACAGTTATTTCTGGTTTTAGGCTTGTTATCATATCTCCGTATCTATAGACGAGTTCTTAAGTAATTTATCAAAAAAAACTAGTGGCTCTACATCCTTTTAGGGCTGGGCCTCGGGTTTCTGTATCTGTTTCTACTAATACTAACAACGTTTGAAATAGAACTTAACGATATGGTAATAAAAAATGTTTCATGTGTCATGTATCAATTGTCAAGTGATTCATGTATTATGTGATATATAAATTTTTAAAAGTAAATAACTCTCGATAAGTCAATCAGCGATATAATCTAGTTTTATTTGCACTATCATAAATATCTATGTCATCCAACATATTGTCTATAGACTCTATTTGTTAACAAAATACTACACAAATAGTATTTCCGTGATAACAAATACTAAGTAGTAATGGTGACATCGCCAAAACTCATAACCGCTGATAGTTCTAATTTCTCCATTAAAGAATAACGTTCCTTATACAATCACTTTGACTTGTCTTTACGGGGCTCAGTCAATTAATGACTGCATAGAGAAAAAACGGTCGAATAATTGTTAATAACTTTGGATCTGCTTTAACGTGTATTATTAAATTGTAAAAAGAAATATTTTTAACTATCCCGCAGCACTTCCCGCGTGGATTTCGTGTGTTTTACGTAAAACCCATAATGATTTATACAAATATTAATACTAAATCGTATTCAAACAAAACTATTGTTAACACACACACACGGTGATTGGTGAAAACCGTACAAAACTCCGTTAAGTTGTTTTTGAGTTTGTCCGGATCACACAGATAGCTGCAGCCGTGGGACTTAATGTTATCGGTTTACCTAAACGTCTAATGCATGTTGTATTGCTATTTCTTAATTACTTTTGTAACAAAGTCTAAAAACTGTATTATCGTGAAAAGACAGGCTTTCTGATCTGCGTGACATTTAAATATCACCTTTAATAAGTTAAGTGTATTAACATGGTCTATTATTGTGTCCCTGACTTTATAATAATTTACTTTGTACGAATAGTTTATTATTTTTTATTCTGTAATCAAACCAATTATATCTATAGAAAAGTAAAAATAGAATTGATGAGATTGTTTGATTTATGGTAAGAATATACCAACGATTCAAGTAAAAATGAGTTATGTATGACGATTGGTAACATTAACTTACCAGGAACGGGGCACACGACCAAATGAAGGCTGTTGCAGAATTTAGATATGCAGTTTGTTTGAGGACATACATCTCCTTGTTTCTGATTTTAATAACTTGATCCTCGAAACTAGGTTCCCAAGCATACATTTTTAAAACCTAAAAAACAGAACTTCTTGTAATTTATAATCGGAAAACCCGACGTAAGACTTGGCTTGGTAACTAAATTATTAGAAAAAAATACAAGTTTCGATACATCATCGAAGCAGGAAAAATATTGCACACGTTTTACAACGTTCCAAACCTAAAACTTAATAATTTTCAAGTGTTTAAAATCTATTGGTGGTAGGTTTTAAAACTTAATATTTTTCTAAGTCATTATTCCGCCTTAGTATGATAAATGAATCTTGGTTTGAATCCTTTCCTGTAATACTGAGCCAACTTATCGCGTCGTTGACTGTTTTAAAGAAATAAAAGATGCTCAAAAACGACGTATAAGTTGGAATGTTAATGTTAAATTATTTTCTATATAACGACAAAGCAAAAGAACCTACTTCTCTTCATTTACAATAAATCAATAAACATTTTCTCAATTACATTATCGGAACAACCCAATAAAAATCTAGCAAGGCCATTACGTGCACTATAAGCGGACATGGAATGAAGTTATTTAGGCAACAATAATGAAAATGTCTTTGATCGACAACTGCTAATTTTTAAGAGTATCGCAATGCATAGCTCGAATACGCAGTCTTGAAGGCGAAGTGTAATGGTAATCTGCATATTTTATTTAATGAAGATATTATATACTTTTTAGTTACGTGATCATACTTGAGGCAAGAACCGATTTTGATATATTTTGGCTTAGAAAACACATCTAACAGTAAAAAGAATATTCTGCAAAATTAAGAATTCCTAATCAAATCGACAAACAGTCTTTAGTTTATAGACGAAAAGGCACAAGGTATCTTGATAGATGTGAAGGTCGAACTTAATCGAAGAAACTGTGGTTGCTAACGGCAACAGATAAAAAATAACGGAGTATTTCATTTCTTATTTCAATTTATTATAATTTCATTATTTAAATTAGTAATAAGTTTTTTATGCAAATTTTCCCCACTACTATAATAGTAAAGGCAGAAAGTCCGAGGAGAAAACTATCTTGGATCCTATATAATATCTTGATTGTTGACCGATTAAGAATTTACACTAGACCTTTTAGATATATAGATATATTTTTGTATTAAATTACATTGCATAAAACACCAAAAAACTAGACTATCGCTTAAGATCTACGTAGTTGGTCCCAAAGTTCTGTCACTAGCACATTATTTCTACATTTCGAGCAGGATTTTATAAAAAAATTATTGCATTCTATTTTGGAATGTTTGATTATTGTTTTAAAACAAAAAACAATAACTTTCCGTAATTTTTCACGATGGAGTGGACATTGAAAGTAAACCGAATAGTTGTTATTGCGTTGCACCGCTGTGGACACTCGCCGAGTACCATTTTCAAGTTGCTCAAAAATTTGAATATAACGCTTAGGTTTGTGTACGGTACTATTGATAGGTACCTTGAAGTCTCCAGTGTTGAGGACAAGAAAAGAACTGGCTGGCCACGCTCCGCAAGAACACCAGCAGTAATCAAAGCTATCAAGGCGCGGATAGTAAGAAATCCTGTCCGAAAACAGAAGTTGATGGATTTGCAGATGGGTGTCAGTAGGAAAACAGTAAAAAAGGTTTTAAATGAAGATCTTGGTCTACGAGCATACAAAAAAAGAGTGGGCACTTACTTAATGCTCGTCTAAAAGCAATAAAGCTTAAGAGATCGCGGGTGTTGTTTAAGCGGTACGCGAAAAACCGACACCGTGATATCCTCTTTACGGACGAAAAATTTTTCGATATTGAAGAGAAGTACAATAAACAGAATTATACAGTGTACGCTAGGAGTTCTGAAGAAGCTGAAAAAAAGTTCCAAGTAATGGAATCATCCATCATCAGTAATGGTTTGGTTGGGAGTGTCCTATTACGGGTAATGAGGTTAATTTTTTCGAAAAGGGGTCAAAACCAGTGCTACAGTGTACCAAGAGACGGTTTTGTATCGCCTTGTCAAAGACATGTCCAGCACCCTATTTGCGGGACATCACTTCGTGTTCCAGCAGGACTCTGCGTCTGCATACAAAGCCAAGACCACTAAAGCCTGGTTTGAGCGTCAAAACATCGTCTTAATTAGACATGAGGATTGGCCTTCCTCCAGTCCGGACCTTAATCCTTTGGACCAGAAATTATGACAGGGCTTAGAGAGGAAGGTCTGTGATAAACCTCATGAAAATTTGGAGAATCTGAAGTCATCTTTAAAAAAACCAGTGACTGAAATCGACACGAATATGGTGCGTGCTGCGATAGACGACTGGCCGCGACGCTTAAGGGCCTGTATTAAAAATGAGGGAGGTTATTTCGAATATTTTTATGCTTTTTTTATTCCTTAATTAATGTACTAAGAATTGATATATCACTCATTACAAACTGATCAGTACTTTTGTTTTTATCATTATTTCCATTTATGACAGAACTTTGGGACCGACTACGTATATACAACTTTGAAAATCTTTGAATCTTACCTTAATACCGTTGAGAATTTCATTCATAAGTTTAACCCTTTCATCCTTATATTTCATCTGCCTTATTTGTAAAGTCTTAACTCTGTTAGCAATAAGCCCATTGACGGGAATAAGCACGATCATAACAGCCAAGCCGGCAAGAACAGACGGGCCCAGAATACCCCAGAGGAAATATAACGCGAGGGTTATCTGCAGAGGGGCAGACCATATCATATTGATATAAGCCATCAACTCCAAAAATCTAAAAAGGCATAAAAAATTATCAAACGATCGCACGTGCTACTTTGCAACGAGTTTTTAATAAGCCAAACAGTTTCTGTATTTATTAATTACCAGTAATTGGTTTAGTTTAAGGACCCTTTTAGAACGCCTAATATTAATTGCGTGTAACTTCTCTCTAAGTTTGAAATTAGGTCACGGTTGACTTATAATTCTTTAATATTCGAGTTGGAAACCATTGTATAGCATTTTTACAATCAGGCGAGCCTAGTATTGCCATTCTATTGTAATTGACTAAGTTAGGTAGAAGAGCAGTTAAACACAATACTAGATAAACCATAATGTACATTATCTAGGATATTTATGTACATTTCCTTCAAACTCAAAATATCTTTATTCATGTAGATAAACAAGTACACTTATGAATTGTCATTTATTGCACCATATTTGTAATAATAAGTACCTAATCTCATATATTTAAAAAAACTTTCTTTTTAAATAATATGTGCAATAGTTGTAATGACTTTTAAATTATACAATTTTACTGTTGATTTTGTTACTTAGCAAAAACAATTACGTATTATTACACCATAATTCCATAGTTCCTGCAAATCATTGAGGTGTTCCGAAATCTACAAATCATATTTATAATGACGATTCTTAATTTCGACGATGACGCGTCTTACGTGAGTAAGCATTTTGATATCGGTGTGTTATAATTTTTAAATATTTGCAAGTAGTTTAACAGAATTGCTTTATACGAATTGTTATCGCTTAAAGGACACCTACTTCGTTACAATGATAAACACTATACATTATAGTGATGATTATATATTTTTTTATCTGTCTCCCACACTGCTTATCTGAAATCAGGTTTCTAAATACCTTTGGGCGTCCACAGACATCAAATTCACAATTTCTCCAACTGTAGAATCCTTTTTGGCTGCGTTTGATATCCGTAAAGATTTTCGATAAATTGCGTTTGTCAATGCCGTCCTTATTCTCATACCCACTAAGTACATTCTCGTGAAGTAATGGGCTAATAGCAGCGTTTGCGCTATCGCACACGCTAAAAGTGCAACGGCATAAAGATAACCTTTCCATATTGTTTCATTACTTTCAACAAATCCTATTAAGAGCCTGAAATATTTACAAATATTAGAGAAATCGTATTAAACATGTATTGCTTCTCCGTTGGCAACCCTTACCTCAACAGCTGTGGCGAGACGAACATAAGCACATCGTTGAACAGTTTAAGTAACGCTCCGAAAAAGAATTCTCCGCCAAATGCCAAACAAAGAGCCGGTAAAATTGACGCTGGTTTCCTCTCGTTTTCAGATTTAAAGTTCACGCTGGCGGAAGTCTTACTATACGTAGCTTTTGTCCCGGTTGCCCTATGACATTAGTAATTATGTCATAAATGATTACAAAGTAAAAAATAATAGCCAACAAAAAATTATGATGTAATTTTAGTCGTTCAAAGTTTCATCAAGGTCGCATTATAATGCCATGTACGTATCTGTACGGCATCATTGGTGTTATCTTCCGTTTTCGATTTCATTGATGAAACATGACAATGCAGATTATATGATCTGATGGCTATATTAAAATTCGTTATAACTTGTATTGTATCATACTTACGCATCGCGTTTCTTCAAGGCTCTTTCCCAGAACTTAGCGAATCGTGGAACGATTTCCTCAGATGAGTCTTGCGGATTCAGTGCCCAAAGATCACTTTCAACTAAACTTCTTTTAAACCCTGTGAGTGCCAGCGGATCGAACCAGCTAAAAGTAAGACGGCTCGGATAACCTGACGCGGCTTCTGGACATTGGTTCTGTTAAAAATATAACTCATTAGATAATTCAATAATGTGATATTTTCAACAAATTTCCATCCCAATCAATTACCTTTTCAAATTTGTATGGTGAATCCTTAGGTGGGAGGTCAGCAAAGCAGTTTAGTACAAACATTAGTAGAATCAATGAAAAGTATATCATGTAACTGACAAAGTTATATTGTACATTCTCATCTTCTGTCAATTGTTGGTGGTTGATGATTTCAGATCTGAACTGTGGTAGACCAGCAAGTATCAACAATAGCCAGAAGAAGAACAATACTCCTGATGCTCGCATACCACATTTCTTGTTATAATAAAGAAGTGTTGCCGCCAAAACCTTAAAAAAATACAATATCTGCAATTTTTCTGTACTTAAATTCAATCATGATTGTGAAATATATGATGGATTGTGTCATGATGACTTAAATGAAAACACATAATACATGTACAAATATCATATTTACTATTAGGTTTAACTCAGATAAGACAATATTTATATAGACTGAATTTTAAGTGTCTCAGAAGACTTACATTACAAATTAAGAATTACATATTGAAATGTTTAAAATATTGTAAGCAAGAAAGTCATCATTTATATTTGAATGATGATGACTACCAATAGTATAAATACATAATTATAAGTTAATTTATTAAATATAAAAATACTTACAAAAGTTAGTATCTTAACTACTGGTCCATAGAAATCAACATTAAAAACGTCTTCCTCCTCTTTTGATGCTTTATGAACAGTTACACCGAGATCCACAAATTTAAGTACAATTAATAAAATGGTAATAATAAGTTTACTAATATTAAATATATTCCACGGTATGTTTCTCTCTTTGCTGTTTAGAATATAATATGTCTCTAAAAGTGCACCAACCCAAAGGAAGGCACAAGGTATCCATATAAGTACAGTTTTTTCAAAACATGGTGTTAATTCCGGACTGTCTGTATTCCATGTTAAGTTGCTATCCTAAAAAGACATAATTACAAAAATTTAGGAAGTCTTTTCACAATTAAATTGGAAGTTACAATGAAAGCAAATATCTATGTAATTTAAACCATCTTAATTTCAAATAAAAAGTGTCCATAGTTATATTTTATTTTCAAAATTTTTTAAGGTAATGGAAATGCTGGCTTATCTTTAAACAATATTAAAGGAAGGTGTAAAAAAATATCTTTATACTGACAGATTTAAACAAAAGATATGTTAATGATTTTTTGCATATTTTCTTATTTCTCAGAGTTTAATCCAATCTGAATAAGTAACAACCAGTCAGTTTTGTCAACTGGATATTTAATTGTTCACTTAAGAAACTTAAATGATAAGTTTTAGGAAGAAATTTTAAATTAAATACAGTAAGTAAATTTTCAAAACATGTAATGGAAAACTGAGATTCAAATTCCAAAGAATTAAAAAAAATTCAAATAGTCCTCCTTAACAATCAAATTGCCACCCTGTGGGATGGGTGCAGGAAACACTGGTTTAGGGCATTATTTCTAGACTAGATCATTTCAATTTTAAAATAGTAAATTCAATATTGATAAAACACAATCAATCAATATACATTTATTTTATGCTGCATACCTCTAATCAATATTTAATGCTTTACATTAACCCTGTTTGACTAGGGGAGACCCCAATATTAATATTTAAATAAACTATTTATTTATTTGAATAATCAATAGTCCAATGAATTACTTTCTTTCAACAGCCAACATTCATTTTATATCTGTTTATTTTCCATGAAAAGTAGGTTTAAAGCTTTTATTTTCTTATTGTTTTATACAATGCTTAAAATTGTATTTTTAAAGATGGTTTAAATTCACACTGCTTGAAACATGTTTTAATAATGTCAACCCTGTATTTAAAACTTGCTAATATGAAATTCTAAATTGCATGTCAAATTAAATTAATTCTTACTAGCAAGCAAGTTTAGATGACTTTAATATTAAATAGTTTATAAAAAATATTTTTAAGTAACCTACAATTTTCTAGTGCTAGATTGCAATATAAAATATTAATATTTTTTACATTTTATATCTTACAAAACCAGTTTCATTTTAAGTAACAATGTCAAAACAGAAAATACCTTTAGTTCATGGCCACTGAGTCTTTAAGATTCTAACTCAACACATAGTGATATGTAAAACATAAAACATAATAAGTATCGTAATTTATGATTTATTATTTACTTAATAATTAATTCACAATGATGATTTAATGACTTAATAAGATTAATATAATTAAAAACAGTAAAACCCAAATTTTGTGATAAAAAAATATGCTAAATTATATGAATAAATATGCTAGTTATTAATTTCCAAAACTGTATTCTACTGACATTTCGTTTAAGTTTAGTTACTTACCCAAAATTTTGATCCGCAGAATTGGTCAAGCGAAGAGTTGTAGGCCATTGCAGCAACAAAACTGCTATTCTATAAAACTATTTTTCAACGAAAAAGTATAGAGGATTTGGTCTAAAACCGGTCATTCAGAAGTTGATCCAATCACTATTGGCAGTTGGAGGGTAATTATTATACGACCTGCAAAACTTCTAAAGATGCTATCTAATGTAGTAACTCGTAAACTCCTTGAACTAATAGTAATTAACTTCTTTTTTACAAGTTCACACAGAGAAACGACCATATGCGAGTATATGCATATATTATGTGATCTTTCGATTGATCACATAACCAAAATGAACACGTTAGGTATAATTTTCTTCATTTAAACACGAAGGCGGAAAGAATGACAAAATAATAAAATTGAAACGACTTCACAAGTCCGGTGATGACTGTTTAGTGTCTAGTGTCTACTTCAAAGTTCAAATTAGACCTGTGTCTTCTGTCATTGTCGATCGCGATTTGGTCGGCAATCACTTTTATCATAACGTAGAATCTACGTTTTTATAAAAGTGATTGCCGACGATTTTTGTAATATATCATATTATCTGCGTCGTAGATAATATGATATATTACAAAAATTTCGATCATAAATAACCTGATTAATACTTGTTTCCAATGCAAATTTTTAATTGCAATGTCAATAGCAAATGGCCTAACTGGCATCAAATGTATACAGATTCATCTAAACACTCCAATGGGTGTGTTGGTGTTGGAGTGTTTCACAAACAATACAACATAGTTCAGAAAATTAAATTACAGTAATACCCCGACTTACGCTACCTCGACTTACGCGAATTCGGAGTTACGCGATTTAATTTTCTCGTCTATTCGTTTTTTGTTCCATTTTTTTTCTCAACTGAGAATCAGGCGGAATCAGTGCCAGGGCCTGATGCAATTTGCAATGTGATCAAAGACGTTGTCGAACTTGGTAGACAAATAAATTTAGATGTGGATAGTGATGATGTTCAAGAGCTGTTGGATTCACACAATGAGGAGCTTACAATTGATGAGCTCATAACAATGCGTGAACAAGAGGAAGAAATTAATAATCATGATTCTTTGGATCCAGTTCAATTAGAAGATCAAATGACAGTTGGAAACTTGACAGAAGCCCTCAGTTCGATTGAAAAAGGTTAACAATTTTGGAAAGCAGACTCCAATGAAGAGCGCATTTTTGTTACAAAACATGGAATAAAAAAATTACTAGGATGCTACGAGGAGATGTTACGGGAGAAGAAAAAATCATTGACTTGTCAGACGACTTAGTTACAATTTGTGAAACCTTCTGCATCAAAATAACTTCGGATTGTGTTTATACACTCTATTAGTATAGTTTGTCATATTATCTAGAATTAGATACTAATTATTTCCTAAATTATTGTTTTATTTAGTCTCCAGTCCCAATTAAACATACTTTGTATGTCTTTATATGCAAAATTGTACCCCGACTTACGCGAATTCAACTTACGCGGATAGCGCTCAGTCCCACCTATCACGTAAGTCCGGGGTATTACTGTACTCCGGAATCATCGGTCTTTACCGGTGAATGTTTTGGACTACTAAAAGCTCTTGAATATGTGCTGTGTTTCAAACTCAAAAAAAAACGTTATATTTACCGATTCCTTAAGTGCATTACAGAGCTTAGCAAAATTTTCACTAAAACTTAGCCCATTTTTTCATGTAATATTTGAATGTAAGGGAAAGCTGTTGCACTGCCAATTACACAACTATTTAGTTTCATTTTGTTGGATAGGTACCTAGTCACTGTGGTATCTCTGGAAATGTAAAAGCTGACAGTTTGGCTAACAGTGATACTGAGACCGGTGACGTATACCCGTACAAGAATTTTGGCCATGATCTTGCTGCTTTGCCCGGCATATATCTCCACAAATCGTTGAATATGTGTTGGGAAGAGAACGGCCGGATTAAGGGTCGTTTCTTGTATGCTATACAGTCTTCCGTTCCCAGGAAGCCATGGTTTGCCTAATTGTCGTTTGGTAAAACCACCACTTCTACTATAATCCGTATGCGTCTGGGACATAACAGCCTTCCAGTTCATTTGCACAAACTTGGTATCGTAACTAGTACCGCCTGTGAGTGTGGCGAGAGCTATTCTGACCTGAATCATGTTTTCTTTTCTTGTCCTAAATATGACCATTCTTCCTTATATACTTCTTTAGTATCTCTCTCTGTTCCCCTTCCTACCAATATTTCTTTACTTCTTCGAGATTTAAATCCCGTTGTATATAGTATTATAAGTATATTTATTGTACATAATAACATTAAACTATAATTTTGATTAATTTTTCCCCTTATGTAACTTTTCTGATTTTGTTGTAAATTTAATGCGTTTTCAATATTCTATGTTATGTCACGATTAGTTTCCTTCGTTTTTTATTATTCATAAACTGTAAATAATTAAAACAGCGAATTATAAAAATCTTATACTTGACGCTGGCTAATGCACAAACCGTGCCAGAGCCATAAAGGAAAAAAAATCATACTTGTTTCATTTAAGATAATATTATATTTTATGCCAACAATAATTAAGTTTCGCGAATGACATCTTGTCATCTCTTAATGTTCATGCTGTATTACATTTCTATTTAAAATGTACTTCATAACATGTATACAAAACCTACATAAGTCAGACTTCGTTTGTCAAGAAGATTATTTCTGGGGCTTGAGACAACTTTACTTTTGGATAGGCATCACCCACTAAAACTAACACACCCATTAATACTAATTTATAAGGGAATTACATTATCTCACGCTTTATAGCGTTTGACCGTTTTCACACAAATTCGTAAGCGTTAGTGGGTCACGCCTGTTCGAAAGTGATTTTGTCTCAAGCCTTAGCTTAGCCGTAACGCGTCTTAGCTTCGAGTTTCGACTAAGACCCCCAATACTGTCTTAATTATAAATAAATTAAGGCCACGTATATACTATATTGGGCATCTATCTCTCTTAGCTATTTAGTTAATACTCCACTTCTATAATAATTATTTTTTCTAGTGGTTTCTAATCAAAATCATTTCTGGGCTGTAACTTCATGTGGCATTTTGATTCTATTCAAAGTCATAAAATATACTCTATGGCTGAAGCTTTTAAAAAAAAATATAGCTTAGGCTGAACCCTTCGAACAATTTGTTTCTAAAATTTTTTATTTGTAATCTAAAAAGTTAAACTAATTGTGTTATTTCTTTCTAAACTTATTGAAAAAACTTCTTTCTAAAATCTAGAATGCTTTTTACAACAGTAGTACATTATTTTATTTTGGAGTAATAAAACAACGTTAAAATAATTGAGAATGGCTGAATATTTAGCGGCTATTTTTGGTACCGAAAAGGACAAGTAAGTTTATACTAGTAACTTCTACATTTTGATATGCAGATAAATTAAAATATATTTAAAAAATTAATAAGTTGTACCAGTAAGAAATTCGATGTATGTTTGGTTTTTAGGTTATGTTAAATATTGCATTACTTTTTGTTTCAGAGTTAATTGTTCTTTTTATTTCAAAATCGGAGCATGCAGACATGGTGACAGATGCTCTAGAATTCATAACAAGCCAACCTTCTCCCAGACAGTGCTTCTTCAAAATCTGTATGTTAATCCACAAAACTCTGCTAAATCTGCTGATGGGAGTCATTGTAAGTTACTACATTACTTGTATTGTAATTTAAACGTCATTTCTATGACACAAGGAGATTTATTTTTCTTTTATTCTTCATAACATTCAAACAATAATATTTTTTTCCAGATATAGATTTCCAATTACTGAATATTTGTTGTAGTAGTTGTATTGATGTTTTGTCAACACAGAATAATGCACACTTTTGTATGAACCTAAGTTTATTTACCTAGGTTTCATTTGACAAAAATGAAACAGACTTTTAAAGTTATGTTTGAATTATTTATTGTAAAAAATTACTATGTTTTCAGTGGTAGTGGCTAATGTATCAGATGAAGAGATGCAGGAGCATTATGATAATTTTTTTGAAGATGTCTTTGTTGAATGCGAAGACAAATATGGAGAAATTGAGGAAATGAATGTTTGTGACAATCTTGGTGACCACTTAGTGGGCAATGTCTATATCAAGGTAATTTATTTTTATAATTGCTAATATTATTGTGACACAGAAAATTTGCTCTTTAAGTAATTTTAACTAGCTTTGTTTAAGTAAATATACAAACATATTGTCACAATAGAATGATAACCTAATTATTTAAAAAAACCATTTATTTTTTATTCCGAGACTCCTATGTCATATATATAAATTGTATAATCATGAAGTAAGGACTTATTTATGTTATTAATAAATAATCTTCATCACATCTAATCTAAAACTATGAACAAAAACACAATAATATTTTAAGGATCATTGACAAAATAAAACATTTTTATTTGTTTCCTGTAATGGTTGGTTCTCTGAACATAGGAGGTTATCATTCTGTAGCGATGATATGTAATAAAATAACATATGTGAACATAATTGACCAGTTTCGCCGTGAAGAAGATGCAGAAAAGGCTGTCAATGATCTAAACAACCGTTGGTTTGGTGGACGGCCAGTCTATGCCGAACTCTCTCCGGTGACAGATTTTCGAGAGGCCTGTTGTCGCCAGTATGAGATGGGAGAATGTACTCGTAGTGGGTTTTGTAACTTTATGCATCTCAAACCCATTTCAAGAGAATTAAGAAGGTTAGTATATATTCATTTCATATAAACTTGTGATGTCTGATTTCTGTTAACCACTGTTCTGTGTTGGCTAAGTTGGACACTTCCTGTGACTGTTTTAAACTATAAATAGTAAGATACATATTATAATTATTATGAGGTAATAAAGATGGCCTGCCATTTTATTCCCATAGATATTATTTGATTATATAATAAACCTAGCATCTAAATAATACTTACAAGATATATTTATTAATCAATTAATTCCTCTAAAGAAAGGCATCATTATTACTAAAAAAGGCTCTGACATATTTTAAATTAGTACTTCTTAATTGCTTAAAAGCACCATTGACGAACAACACTTAAACATCGAGTTATGTAACAAAACGAAAAGCATTAATTTCTTTTAAAAAGATTTAAGTTCCCATGTCATAATTGATACTTAAATTTTTGTTAGTACATAATAGTAAGTAATAGTTTTGGTGTTTTATTGAACATCCACAATTCATGGGTCCTGTATGCATTCTATTCCAGGTATTTATACGCCCGTCGCAAGGGCGGAAAAGGGCGTTCCCGCTCTCGCTCCCGCGAACGCCGCCGCCGTTCCCGCTCTCGTGAACGTCGTCGTGAACCGCCGCGTAACTCTCGCGCGGGTCGGTACTAAACGTACCACATACCACACACGTGTGTTGTTTCCATAGATAATTTACCGAGCCTACTCAATCGTCTATAAGCTTTTTCTAAGTATATAACTGATTAAGATATATTATTGTCTTTGGTTTACGCAAATACACATTTAATATAATTTACTTTGATGTTGTTAGAGCTTTTAAGCGATTGTGGTCTGCAAGAAATGATAACATCCAGTTATTAGATACCTTTTTGATATATACTTAAAATATTTTGTTTGTTAACATACTTTTACATAGCTTATGACATTTTCAAATTTTTCTTAATAATAATAGAAAAAAAAAATTCTCCAATTAATTCGCTAATTGAAACTTACGTTAAAATGTAGTTCTTTGATATTTTTTCTTAGGATTAAACTTCGTAGAAGGATTAACCCTTCTATTCTAGATTAGAGTGTTAATTTTTTTATTTTTTATTTAAGCTTAAACTTTCAATTTATTTTCAACGATATCTGGCTCAGTGATACACATGACAAACTCCTAGGTTCCATTCCCGATGGTATAATGATTGTTGATAACCTACTAAAGAAATACTTTATACCCCTTTGCAATCTCCAAAATATATTTAATATAACAAATAACCAGTTCTAAATAATGTACAGATAGCAAAGGTTTATTATTTAAGGGCACGTGTGTGGATACAATTTATTTTCATAGCAACATTACTAATATAATTTTTTCAAAAATCATTTTGTCTAATATGAAATCTTTGAAATATGTTCAGAGTTAAAAGGGCAGATATGAAAATAAAAAATAAGATTAAAATGTTTTAATAGTACTTTGAATGCGATTATTTTTTGTATGTTTAATGTGGAATAGACAAAGATTTAAACTTTTGTATGACTCGCTACTACCCATTGGTGAGGACTAGGTTTACAAGATTTTAAAATTATAAGTATCATTCCTAATTATTTAGTTTTTTTTACCTTATGTCTTTCTAAACACAAGTGTGGTTCTGTAATTATAAAACTTTCATCCATTTTCATTTACTTGTATCGTATCTGAAAATAGGGGTAAATTAATTGAATTAAATTAGATTATTTGTTATCAAGGTTCTGGTCAAATACAAACTAGATATTCAACAAATGTTAAATAGAAAGTTACTGCGTAATTGGGCTCTCAGTTATAAGTTTGTCCCGTTGACGTTATGGCGAGAACTTTGAGATCTTATAAACATAACTGACAATTCTAAACACTAGCTTTCAACATTATTTTTAAAGGTGGCGGGCGGTTGTTTGTTTAATCTATGATGTTTAATTATATTAATGCTCAGTTGTTTTAAAATATATTTTGATATATAGACTATATAATATATAAAAATATATTTATAAAGATCGCATCGGTTTTACATAATTAAAAGATAATAGCGTTTAGACAAAGGCAAATATTTTTTATATCCGCTGTTCTCTATATATTTCATCCCAGAACAGCATTATTTCTTCGTCGACGTTTACTGTGCATTTCAAATATCTATCTATAATGAAACAATTCTTCTCATGTTCTGTGAACGGTTTCCATTCGACTTCAGCGCAATCTGGTGTCGGATTTCTAGAAAATAATAAAATATTAAGTGATAGCCCTTGTGGTTAAATCCTCTAACAATAATAATAATAATTGGCGTATATCCTTAGCGGCCGGAGTAACTTTATTAACGCGATTCAGGGCATGACGACACCGCAGTGAATGTTACCCGTAGAATGTAGGTACAGCAGTTTTATGTAAGTCACGATATAGCCTTGAATGAAAGTATATGATAAAATATTTGAAACTGAAACTTACCCATAGCTTGCAAAATTAACCCATAATTTAACTACATTTTCTACAACAGCCTTGGAATCGATTGTTAAAGGAATATCAATGTTTTTAACATTAAATTGGTAAAATTGCTCGTCTCCATGACATACTCCAGGCACCTGCTCCATTTTATATTTCTTCTTCATGTAGTTTCGTTCGGTTTCTGCTGTGAATTTATAGAAATAAATCGGCATTGATGTGTTTTTAAAATGGTACCGTGCTAACCTTCTTGTATTATAAGCAAAAATAATATCAGTTGTTAAATTTACACATTCTTCGAGCATTTTTTCTGTAATGGTCGTACTTCCGAAGTATTTTAGTCGGATCTTTTCATCTAAAATTTTCATCTGATTTAATGACATGTTTAATTTGATTTCTCTGGGTATAACAATACCCCTTTTTGATAAAAAAGATAAAGATTTCGGAAAATCACGGCAAATTTCAATGCCATCTGCTGATGTATAGCCCAACATCAAGGGAATTTTAGCTATATGGCCTTTCTTTATTAATATAGGCGGACATTCGCTGATGAATTTTTCTACATTTAAATTAGAATTTTCAACAACGGGCGAAAACATTAAACTGTCACTTATATCGGGGTAATCGGTGTTGACTCCGGGTAACTTAACATTGATCAAAGATTCAGCAGGTACATTTCTCAGAAACTTCAGTAACTCATTAACATCTTCAGTGTCTTTACCCAGCAATTTTCCTAATTGGAAAGCTCTTTGACGAGCGTAAATATTATAGCTCCATTCGTTAAGACATACACCGCTTTGACAAATTGCTTTGCTGAAGAGTCCAGAACTCATATCTGATAACATGTGATAAGATGTAGAGGCTGCTCCGGCACTACATCCAAAAATTGTTACGTTTTCAGGGTCTCCTCCAAATGCAGTTATATTATTTTTTATCCATTTCAGTGCTGCGACTTGGTCTTTGAGGCCTGCGTTACCTGGAACCTCCTCATTATCTAGGCAAAGAAAACCAAAAACTTCTAGTCGGTAATTGAAAGTTACCATTACAATATCATGTTCCATAAAAAAATCTGGGCCATAAAAATCTGAATTCCCTGATCCAGTGTAGAAAGCTCCACCATGAATCCAAACTAAAACTGGTAAACGATTCTTAGTGTTTACTGCTTTTGTGTAGACATTAAGATAGAGGCAATCTTCGCTTCCCGTTTCTATTTTGTCGAGCCGTTCGTTGTAATGTGGGCATACTGGTCCATGTTCGTAGGCATCCCGGACACCTGTCCAGGACTCCGGCGGTAGTGGTGCCTAATTCAAAACAAATAATAAATATTTTTAGTGAAACATTAGGAACTGAAACTATGATTAATAATGAATAAACAGACAGAAACTATAGCTTCGTAAAACGGGTCGAAATCGAAATAAATTTATTTTAAATTTACAATTATAAAAATTGGGAGGTTTTATAATTTCAAATTACAAACTTAGATAATTAAATGCGTTTTATCCGGTTTCATAGATAACATTTTATTCTATAGGAAAATCTAAGTGTTGACTCTAAAGACGACTGTCTAATACAGTTATCAGTTATAATGGAAAAATTATGGAATGCGACATGCTACATTATAACGTTCAAATATTTTAGTAGGTTCTTTGGTTGGATTCATTAACAACTTGGATATAACCGTCTCAATGTCTTGATTCGAGCCCTCCAACGTTATCTCGAAACACAATTTAAATAGTTAAAGTAAATGAAAACGTTGGCAGTATTGTTGACGTGTATAATTTTACCAAATGTTCCTACACTATGGTATATTTTTATCAAGATCCTTGTATCTCTTATACGCACCTTGAATCTCAATTTTCCAATAGGTGGTTTCGCATATGGTATTCCTTTAAAAGCATGAAATCTACTATTTTCAGTATTACAACTAATGCCTCTCAGCATTCCTTGTTCTGTTTTGACGACCGCCATTTAGCAGCAATCTTTGTTTTTCCTGTAACGTAAGTAATAATCTGTAAAGATAATAAGTTAACATCTAATTTGTCTTAAAATACCTACCTATTTTTTTAAATGTAGAGCAAGATTCTGTACTTAAAAATTACCAACGTCTATCAATTATCATAAAATCAAAATAAATAACGTATGTTTAACTATTGCCAAGTCCACGCTGCGAGTGTAAGCGGGCGTGTAAGGCAGTATCAGCAGAAAAATACAAATAGAAATATTTACACGTGTAATTTATTCAAGATAATATTATTTACTAATATCATTTGCCATAAGTTATTAAGTACATAATTATAGTAGAAACACGCTGTCGTGTTAAGGTGCAAATGATAATTGCCAAGAAATTAAACATAAGCCATCATTAAGCGTTACGTTGATAACAAAGTCAGTAAAAGTAACTACATATTTGAGGAACTTTTAGAAACTGAAAATTGAAGCAAGATTTATGATTGACTTGTGCCAAACCCAAACCGGCTTTTGATGTGTGATTTTTGGTTACTACTGCCTAAAATGTATAAAAGAAACAATGTTTTTACTTCTATGTTGAAAAAGATTCATGCCATGATTATCTTTGTACTTATAATTAGTTAGTCTGAAAGTAATTATTATTTTTTTATTCTGAATAATTAATTTTCACGAACCTCATTAAATTTATCAAAGTTGCATAGAATAGCGCCACGTTAGTGATAGTATTATGTGTATACTAAGGCAATTTTGATTATAAAAACGGCTTAATAGTATATTCGTAATCAGCAATATTTTATTTTGTATGAATATTCGACAATGGACTTTGAACAGTTTAGCTCTATTTTAATATGACTACTAGTCCGGTCAATTTAGACATCCAAGGTTACAATAATTCGCACTTGGCTGAATATTGGTAGGATTGCTCAATACACTATTATAAAGGAAATGTGAAAAGTCCTCATCGATCCGGCACGTGCAAAAAAATTTACTCCAGTTCAAAGATCACAAAAATGGGTTTTTCGCGATTTTCAGCAAAATGGTAAGTTTTATCATAAAATTAGTGTAGACAAAAATTGTAGATCAGATAATTATCTATAAAAAATGTCCAAGTACTTTTTTCCTAAGAGCCACCGTTTTTGAGATATAACGATTCAAAAAGTTGAAAGAGTTGTAATCGTCATAGTATGCACACGTTTCCACGCCACCTTTGAGGTAGTGTACTTAGCGCTTTTTTTTAAATGTGGTTTCCCCGGTAGGCCTATTCCACTGATCTTTTATGATTCTGTTTAATTTGAAACTATTGAATAACTGTAGATATTGACAAGGGTTGAAAATGATGAAAGGGGTGTAAATTACAAAAAATAAGAAAATTTATCCGTCTGAATCTAAATCATCATTAACTTCTGCTTTATCTTGTTCTTGTTCTTTTTCTCTTCCTTCTCCTTCTTCTCCTTCTTCTTCTTCTTCTTTATCTTCTTCATTCTGGGTGTTAATAAATTGTCCCAATAATGACACATCGCATGTCTCTTCGTCAACATCAAATGAATCTTCAATTGTTGGCAATTCAACATTGGAGCATGACCGGCCTTGACAGTTAGTACATGCTACAGAACAAAACAGTCCAACTTTTTTGCAACCACATTTAGCACTACATCCCTTTTTACAGTTGCAAAAAATGGTGTTTAGTAGTTTTTCTGGTGCAGGTGGAAGTAAAGTCTGAACTGGCTCTAATGAATTGTCGACCAACTTCCAACCCCAGTCTTTTGGTCTGAAGGTTACACGCGTAGAAAATAAAGGACTGGGTTTTTTTTACCCGAAATTTTCATATTTTATATGTGTAAGTCACACTGACCGATAGAACGATATTTTTGCTTGTATTACGGCTTCAGTGATGTATATACGTGGTGTACTTATACATATTATGACGATTACAACTCTTTCAACTTTTTGAATCGTGATATCTCAAAAACGGTGGCTCTTAGGAAAAAAAGTATTCAGACATTTTTTATAGATAATTATCTGATCTACATTTTTGTCTACACTAATTTTATGATAAAACTTACCATTTTGCTGAAAATCGCGAAAAACCCATTTTTGTGATCTTTGACCCGGAGTAAATTTTTTTGCACGTGCCGGATCGATGAGGACTTTTCACATTTCCTTTATAATAGTGTATTGAGCAATCCTACCAATATTCAGCCAAGTGCGAATTACTGTAACCTTACCCCTATTTTTTAGTCTAATTTGACCGGATTATACGTAATGATCGTCGGTTTGCGACTTACGTGACACGTGTTCACGATGACAGTCTATTGAGCCAATACACGTATCGACTATCTAGTTGCCGGCCTACCTTTTAATCTAATATTAAGTGTTTAAATATAGTGTAAACAGTATGTATGATAACACAATATTCGCATAGATATAGTCCGTTCCGAAATGTATTGCAGTAGCGATAGTGTACACATCGCAGGTGCTTAAATAATTAATGTATGGAATACAATATAATTATTTTCAGCAAATGGTCCTACCAGTGGCTCAAGCATAAATGGAACTTATTTTGCCGCTCGATAAATTCGAATATACAACCCGCGCCATGTAAACAACATTAAAACAAGCGCATTTATACTTAGTCCTTGGCTTACCTCTATAATATCACTGATGTGTGTAGTAATGAAATGGACTAGTCCAAGAATTACAATGATCAACAGCTCTGAGACGGATGTTCAACAACGATAGTGACGAGACTTAGCTACTGCCATTTTAGTGTCCGGCAAATAAGTGGGCCAGTGGTACCTTTTCATAAGAGGAAAGCTCGATTACGAGCTCGTATACCACGCAGAATCTGGCCATGTTACGTGCCGAGACTATAATGAAATGATCTACATAATCATAAGTGTTCAAGGTTATTTTCGTATACGGAATAATATTACAATACAATAAGTAATCCCGCGTTTGTGTGATATAGAGGAGTGTAATAAAAGTTATAACAATTTATAAATGCAAATTAACAATAATACTCTTAAAAATATACATATTTACTTTAATTTAATTTTTTACAACAGTAATGCTACATTAACAAATGTTATTTTTAACAAATATAACAAAATTTAACAATTAACGTTTTGCATAACATGTTATTCTTTAGCGTAACAAAATCCTAAACAGATAATATAATAGCAATGTTAAATAAACAAATGTTATTTTCTACTAATATAACTAAAATGTATTTTTACAACATTTTACATTTAATAATTAACTTTTTGTATAACATGTTATTTTTTTAAAACATTTAATGCGTTAAGTAACATAATATTTAACCCCACATCTAGTATGATATATGACAAATCTCGTTATTTAGTCGGACGAAAACGCGGTTAGACTAAAGTATAAAAAAGTTATTAATAAATCCAAATTTAAATGCACAATGTTACCCAAATTATGTTACTTACCTAGGTATAATGATGGATTTATGTAAATGTAGAGATTAATTATTTTTGTCCCTATATATAAAATGCTAAAATAATATTTAAGTTGAAATCAGTGTACATTTTAACAATGTACCTACAGATTGAAGTTAAAAATAACACAATCACTTTGATGGACAGGCTTTCCCAGTGAAATTATCCACTTATCTGGTGAATTATTAAATTGTCTAGGCTTATAAATGACAATAATAAGAGGAGATAAAAATTAACGACTAAGATAAAGTGATAATTGTTAACTGTGTGAACTTTGTAATGTTGAATCACTATTGCCTTACGCGCAACAAACGATCTATTAGTTGCAGTTGTGACCGGGTAGCACTTCTTTATTGATAATTTGCAAAATACTTTTATTTTTTATGCTTAAATAGGTATAATGAAGTAATCGTTATTTATTTAGGTTTAAAATGTTGCTAACGTTCCCGTTACATCGATTATTTCCTATAAGAAACGTCAAAGGTATCGTAAACTTCGTATCTTTTGTACTTCAAGTAAACATAACTGACTAAAACTTAGAATAAACTTGCATGTGTAAATGCATGTAAGAGGAACAATTTAGGAACTGGTGCAAGGTATTTCACAAATTCACATTTCCCTTGCCTGTTTAAGGCCTTAAGGGTAAAGTACCTAGTGCACCATCTATATACTAATTATAAACTCGCAATTAAATATTTCAACTTATCGAATATCTGATTCGTATATTTTAACAATACAATAAATTTTTACACGCTTTATATTAGCTTCACCTGTATGTATGTATGTATGTAACCGACTCCTTCAGACTCGATTTTGACCCACTTTTAACGGACAGATTTAATTAAAACTTTGCGCACCTGTCAAAGATCGATGACAATGCAATAATCCGAAAAAAAAATAAAAAAAATAAAAAAAAAATAACTAAAAAATAAATAATAGTTTAAAAAACTAAAAAACACGCTTTTAAAGCACATCAAACTAAAAAGTGAAAAATAATTCCTAATTTAGGGTTGCTCGATAGACGAAAAATATGGCACAGAGCGCCCCACGCTTTTTCACAATAATACCAGTATTTTTTGTTCATTACCATTTTCAGCCTAAATTAGGAATTATTATATTTAGGTATAGTGTCTACATAAACGCGAATACGGTATAAACAGGATTCTTAGTTTAATATTGTATACATAACCTGCTACGCAACTGGCTACAATGTGCTACGACCGGAAAAACTTATCCACAATCTAGCGTCCTTAACTGATTCGTGTATACGTATCTATTTTTTATGTCGGTTATCCGCAAATGATGCGATAAAATCGCTTTGAAGATTTAGATAGAAATTTTCGTTTTGTTCAAATGGTATATAAGCGTTCTTTTGAGTTTTTCTTTTATATCCAATTCGGATATAAAAGTGTTGAAATATAACAGTTGGTGTTTTTGTAGGTTTTTTTATTTTATTATCAGCCCAGATTTCATTTTATCTCGGTATGAAATTCATGTTTCTTATAACATTTTCCAACTAAGAGTTCACATTTTTGTTAC